AATTAATTAATAAAATATATAAATATATATATGTGTATGTGTATATAAATAATTGAATTTAATTTTTTCATTCAAATTTTATTAATTTAATTAATTTAGGAAATATATCGTGTAGCATATACTACACAATTCGACGGAAAATCATCCCTCCTATTTTCTTATTTCTTATTTCATCGCACCAATGAAATTTGATCTCTAAAAATCAACGCGAAATTATGCAATTCTTGCAAAGAGCAAGTACCATCAGAATCTCAAAGCGGAAGGAAAATAATAGTCGGGGAGAACGTTGGGAAATCAGGCAACTTACGGACAAACAACTTTCGAGAGGGTGAATTAGTTGATCTTAACTACTCATTCGAGGGTATAATCGAGTCACGTCGTCGTCCGGGCCAATTATCTTTGGTTTGAAAGTCGGTTAATGCGATTTCCCTGCAACTTTATCGTCGCCGATTCCGTTTCCCTCTGCCGGCTTTTCGAAAATTACCGTTTGATGGATGCGAACGAGCAACAAAAAAAAAAAAAAGGAAGGAAAAAAGAAGATTGGCGGAACCACCGACCAACTTTCGTCCCATCCTCTCTCTGTCTCTCCGGTATAAAAGTCACGGCAACGACAGCGATGCCTCAAGTGATAAATAGATTATCCGCACGCGGTTCGAATAATTTCTACCCGGAAAACCAATGGCTTTTTCCAGGCCGTAAACGCGTAACCAAACTTTCGTCCTCTCTGCTGTTTTTTTTCTTTCTTTTTTTTTTTTTTTTTTTGCTACCGTTTCTAGTCGAACTACGCGTTTTATATTTCACTTATTTTTCAATTCGGATTCGCATCGAATGAAAATATCGTTCAAAGAATCGCGAAACACGCGGTTTTTCGTTGAGAGAAGTTTGAATCGATGAAATCTATTATTACGTCGTTGTTTCAGATCATTCCAAGATAGATAGAGAAGTCGCAAACTACATTAATTAAATAATAGTCGATAATTATTTTAATCGTGCGAAGTAATTATATTCAAAGTTTTCATCCTTCCGCGTCGCAATTAATTCCACGTCATTATTGAAACTGGATAAATTCATCAATTTGTTTCGCTGTATTATCTTAGATATCGATAGAATTCAAATTGAAATTTCCGTACGTACACCGCTGAAAGTTATTCATATTTATTCTATTAATAATTCATATTTGTCCTGTGTCGCGTAGAAGCGGAGCAGCATGTGTTTCGAAGCTTCTTAATCTTCGTTTTCTGGCGGCGTTCGCCGTGTCTGCGGCGGCGACACGTCTCGATATATATCGATACGATGTATGCACATGCTTGGCGTGGAACGAGAAAGAGGATGGGGAAGGCGCGCTCGAAGAAAAGCTTCTGCCACTTATAAAATGTGCCGGCGACCCACTTGAATCTCGACTTGACTCCTCGATCATCGGTTGTCCGCATATAAATTACACCGGTGACGCCGACACCGCAATACCTATGATAAATAAATAGATCACCACCCACGAGCTGGGAAAATCTCTCTCGTCGCGACTCGCTTCCTAAGGAAATCGCGGAACAAGTTGTCCACTCTCGTTCGGAAATTCGTCGTTCGATCTTGAATATCACGATCATGCAAAAGTGTATCGCCGATCCTTCGACAAAGGCACGACGACGAAACAAAAGGAAAACTAAACGATTTGAAAAATAATCATCGTATTTCACGAGTCTCTGTTTCACTCCTACTTTTTTATTTAAAATTTGGACAAGTTGTCCACTATTCAGAAATTCTTGAAGCAATCACAATTAATATATGTAGTGAAAAATTTACCGTGTACCACATGTATACCTATTATATTCAGTATTAGGAAGATAATAAAAATATCAAGATCTTATTCACGAACTTCATACGAGTTCGCAAGTATTTAAAAACACCCCGAAAAGTTAAAGACAGTTCACCGTTTCGTTGCATCCTTTGCTTTTTAATGCATAAATTGATCGATTCTGTTTCAAGAATCTTCCAATTTTGAACCTAATTACTCTCAACTGGAAAATAATTATTTCAGACAAGTTCTAAGGGAAACCTAATGCCTCCAGAAGCATCGAAAGACATTAACATCGAAAGAATGTAACCTAAAAATGCAACGTAAATACAATTCGATCCCTTCACACTTTCCCGCAACCGATTTCCCTTTAACTTCGATCTCGAAGCTATTTGCCTCGCCGACGAAGAAGCCGAACCGATTTCCTTTCCAACGTCGACGCTGTTCGAAGGGAATTACAAGGGAAAAATTCGAATCTTCCGCCAGCAGTCGGCTATCATCCGATCGGTTTTTCGCCCTCCCCCCCCCCCCCCCCCCCGGCAAAAATGGTGACCCGGATCAGCGTGATTTTCCGGTTATTATGCATTCACGGTGGCGCAGCGACACCAGGTGATGGATGAGTCCCGGGACGAAGCGCGAATTATCTGTTTCGAAGCGAACCCTAAGACATCCGGTTTTTCCCAATGATTTACGAACATATTTTACAGCAACGGCCGATGTGTCGCCTCTTAATCCAGCCCCTTTTACCGCGTTTGATTTATTCGCGCTTAATTTCGCCAACGGATGAAAATTCAAACCGGTGAAATCGATTACGTCCAACCGGCGAAGAGTTACAACCATGGGCTCTCCATCCTCGTCGGAGAGGGTGGCGAAAGGGGATAGAGCAAACCGGATATCTTTCGCACGCGGAAGATTCACGCGAACCGGAAGCGAGACGGATTTTTATCCGTGGGAATTAGTATCGATTCCTTAGGCAGCGACGAGTGTTCGATCTTTTCTCTTTTCATTTTTTTTTTTTTTTTTTTATTTGTTTGAAAGTCGTTACAACGTTGATGAAACACTTCAATTTTATATTCTAATTCCACTTTACTTTCATTTCGTTTCTATTTCTATCTTCGATTAAATTCTATTAGAATTTTATTCTTCAATTCCATTTCATTCTTTATTTCTATCTTTGATTAATTTCTATGGTCGTACGTATAATTGGAATTTTATTTTTCAATGAAGAAAATCCCAAGAATTCGCTTAATATTTCTCCGTCGTTTTTTTTTTTTTTTTTCTTCCTTTTTCATCAAGATTTTATAACTCTGTGAGGTTACGAGGATAAATTTGTTGAATCATTCTGTAATATAATAATCTAGAAATAAAATTAACTTTTCTCTGCTAATTTTTTTCTCTTATAGTTATATATACTATACTGGTATGTAATAGTAATTCAATACTTTTATTGATATATATAATACAATATATGTACGTGTATTCTACTTGTACGTAGATTGAAAAAGAGGGAGGAAATTGTGTCAATGCCATTATACACGTAAATTAATACTAACAGTTTTGATACGTGAATAACTCTTATAATGTCAATTAAGTGGAACGATTTCGATATTCACTAATCGACAGAGAATTGAATTATCTGTCGATTAACCTGTCACTCTGCATAAATCTCAGTAATAGGTTTTAATATTAGTTAAATCAGTTCTTTAACGTAACCAATGGCATTGGAAGGATTGTTAATAAATCAAACCTAGATAATAAATATAATACTTTCCACAGAAAGTTCAAATTCCTCGTCTTATAACAGAGCAAGAAAATTGCAACAATCTAATATCCTATCTAATTCGAATTCGACTGTTAAATTCAAATTCTTTAAATCGAAAACTAATGAGTGAAAGAATTATACACGTGTAACGTTTCGATGACAATAGCTGAATGAAGACACGGTGGGAAATTTTAAGATTGTCCTCTGACAAATAACTTAAATTCCACTAATTTTATAAAAGCTCAAACGGAAGACTTGAATGCTGAAAAAAAATTAAAAAAGATCACAGAGGCGAATCAAATTTAATTCGAATCGTTTATCGAGAATTGACAAAGAAGAGGAGAACTGAGAGAGAAAGAGAGAGAGAGAGAGAGACGTCAAATCTTCGTCGCTACAAGAATGATTACCCTGTCTAACGTCAAGGTAGAACCTTAAACATGTATTACATTACATTATTCACCTAACAATACGATCTCATCAATCAAACTGTACTCTATACTTCCGAAGGAAAAACGTGAAAATAGAAAGTGTAAAAATAGAAGCTTCGACACTCCTCTAACACCATAAAGGAAACCATGAAATTATCCTGTCTATCTTAAGCCAAATATGTATTACGTCATCCAGTTAACTGAACCAAACTTCTCAATCAAAACGATATTTAACTCTTTTCTCAAAAGAGACGGCGCAAAAATAGACTGGTACCTTTATTACAACAGGTTTATCCGTATCAAATCAGTCATTTTGCAATCAAACTTGAAAATATAAGATCTCATCATCTCATGTGTAATCTTCAAAATTCTTCAAAAGTCTCCTCTTAAAAGTTTCAGAAGAAGAAAGTGTACAATTCCATATATATATCTTTTCTATCTATAGTAAGACAGAATTGGACACTTTCTTCTTCTTCTGAAATTTTTAAGAGACTTTTGGAGAATTATACATATAGAAATTTATATATATATATAGAAATTTCTTTTTCTATATATATATATAGAAAAAGAAAGACAATTGTTCTTCATTCAATTCAGCAACTTTCTGTTAAAAGAAAAACAAAATCAACCTTTTCCTGCTATTAAAAAAAAAAAGACACACACGCACACACCATCTACTTTAAATTTATAACAAACATCCCACGACTCGTCTATTAACACATTTCACGAACAAATTGAAAGCACCTGGTCGGATACACATACATATATACTTGACAAAGAAAACAGCTTAAAATCGGCCCCTTACACTCGTGAGAGCGTGTTCTTCCTCCGAAGAGGGCCGCGTAATTACAACGATCAATTAACGAACGATTAACACCGGTCTCCGGCGAACAAACGAGCGAACGAGCGAGCTGATTAACCGCACGCGAGGCTACATGCATGCGCCTACACAAGAGCTCTTTCTGTTTTCTCCCAACCTTGCGCACGCCTACCATTTCGGGCCACCGTTAAAACAACTCAGTGTATCAAGATGTCCACGTGATGATCTGGATCGGATTCGGCTTCCTGATGACGTTTCTAAGGAGGTACGGGCAGAGCGCGATAGGACTGACGTTCCTCCTCGGCGCCATTTTGGTCCAAGTTGCTATGATCTGCGAGGGGGTGGTGCACATGCAGAAGAACAATACGTCCTATTTGTCGTTGAAAAGGTTGGTGGAAATTTTCTTTTTCATCTAACGTGTTTCACATATTCTTTTAATATCTTCTTTTCTAACTTTTAACGTAATTTTAATTTCTACAGCATATATTATTGTGTAATTATTATGTGTGCAAAATTAGAATCTAGAGATTCCAGGGAATTAGTAACATTCGATTATTCGAAGGAAATAACCTCTCAATCTCGACATTTACGACAATTCAAATAATTTCATTAATTTAATTTTGTTTTTTTTTTTTTTTTTCTTTTCAAAATGGAACGACCAATATGATTTATGATTCACAGTTAATTAACATTTAAAGTAGAAATTTTTGATTCAATTTAAAACAGAGTTCACGTTTAATTTTACACGTCACTTACTGCGATGCAAAATATTATAATTGTAACGTATTACATAAAATAAATGTATTATGAAAATATCGGGATATCGTTGGAACGAAATATCATCCAACGTTTGATAATACGTTTGAAATACTGTTGCACGATTAACGGAGGAAAATTACCGAGAAAATTCGCACAGTCCGCTCGTAAATCGGAGATCTCACGGTTAATTCCATCGAGAATTTTTCTTTTTTTTTTCCCCTCCCCCCGATGCAAGTTGCAGCTGACGAGGCGTTCGATTAAAATAATTAAACAAAAATTTCCATCGGTGGAACTGTTAGTTGGAAAGTTTCAAACGAAGCCTCTCGCGAATTATAGATCGGCTCGGGTAAGCTTCGCTAATCCACGGGGCTGCTCGCGAAATTTTGAATTACAAATTACACGGGTGATGGAATTATAAATGGTGATTGGTTCTCTCGCTTTGCAAATACATGTAATGGGAACGCTGGGTGAATTTGCATAACAATTTGCGGGGGGGAGAGGGGAAAAAAAGAAGCGTAGAAACATAACGGTCAGATAAAATCCCTCTCGTAATTTCGTTTAATTGCAAAGCGTTATTTTATTTAACCCCGCAACTTCTAGCTCCCGCGTTAACGTACGATGAATAAAAAATTCCCTGTAATCTAAATATCTCGCATTTTCTCGACAACGAAAAGCACAATATTTACAATGGCTTGCAGAAGTGTTTGAAATAATTTTTACGTGTAAGTTACGTGCTTACGTTATAAAACAAATTGTTATGAAACGTTTCGAAAATTTAGAATCAACGTAAAAATGTATGTTGCCCATTTTCTTTTAAATTATAAGATGTTGCTTCTTTTCAGACAGATTTATTGCTTTCTTTTTACATATTTGTTGCCTTTCTGACAGAGGGAAATGTTAACGTGGTAAAGCCTAAATTTCAAAAAATACTAAGATATTGTCATCGTGCAATAAATAACGAATAAATTATACAATTTTATACAAAAACGGGAAAAGAACGGAACACAGGAAATGTTCCTTATTGAGTTTCCATCCGTTACGATAAACATCTTGTTTGTTAAATTAAAAATGCGGAGGAAATATTTACAGCTTGTAACCGTGAGAGATCGTTTCAAAAATTGAAAATCGAAGAAGAAATCACCGAAGGCAAGATTCCAAGAATCAGAGGAACAGCGTACCGAAAAGCCGAGACTAACGAGGGCGAAAGTAATTACTCTCGCAGCTAATTATGTCGTTGCATTCACAATGAGAATATTCCTGGATCGTTGAAAGGTTCCTTGCTTGACCAGATTTTAATTCGAATTAGCATGGAATTAACGCCGTAAGCAAGCTAATTGAAACATATAATATTCATTACGCGACTCTTTTCTCAGAGCCGAACGAACTCTTCACGTTTCTTGGCCTCCCAGCTTTCGTATCACCACCTCCGTGATTTCCATTTAAAATCTTAACAGCCGTAATACGCCCTTTTCGCCACGTTCCATTAAAAAATTAAAACACGATGGAACATCCTCGCTTTGGCCAATCGAAGTCTCTTGTTTCGCGTTCGATACTTTTTTATTCCGATGTTACAATATTACGCTTGTTAATTATTTTAATTCGACTTTCTTTGACGAAACATCGAAATACCAGACTATTTACGCTCAACGATATTATTTTCCCCAAGGAAGAATTTTTAAATTAATTTAAGTTACTTGAAAAGATCGTAATAAGGTACGAGACGGAAAATATTACGCGGGAGAATTTTTTTTTTTTTTATTTTTCGAATAATTCGCACGATGAAGCTAATATTACCGGCGAAATTTATTACAAATATCAATTTCCTTTGCGACGAAGAAATGAGAAAAATTGTGAACGTGAAAAACTGAATTTCTTGCATCTTTTAAAAGTCGAAGTTAATTTCCCGAAAAGAAAAGAGAGATCGGAAAGTAAAAGTTACATTTCTCGTTTGAAAGTCGACAAATTGACAAGAAATCCGTGATTCGTAATTCATTTACTCGCTATAATTGTCAGTTGATCCAGCATTCTAGCACAAGAACAGAGAAAACGAAAATGCAACGAGCATTTTCACGAGCAACTTGAAAATATCGCACATTCTAGCAAAATTCCACAGGCTTCTAAATCATTGCAGCAACACTACAAACTTAGTGTAAGCTTCTCCGAAATGTCTCGTCGAGATCTACGCGAAAGATTTACTACGCAAAGTTACAATTTTCTCTGAAATATTGCCAACAGCCTATGAGGTCATAAAAATGTTTCAGTGTAGTCAGCGTACATCAAGTCCTCGAGGGACAAATATTCCGATGTGCAACTATGTTCCAAATTATTCTCAACTACCCCAAAATATTCTATATATATATATATATATATATAAACTTCGAAAATGTTCCACGGTATCCTGGAACATTCCGCAACAACTTGCAAAGCCGAATAATATGTGCGTACACAGTGTGATATTGAAATTCTCCGGTGTGAAGGGAATTCGATTTCCAACAGTGTTCCGAATTATTCCAAAACTGTTCTAAAACGCTTTATAATCTTCCGAGACTGTGTTGAAAAGTGCACGTAATGTGAAAATTTCCCGCGAAACTCGTTTTTTCACCCACAATGATGTGGCAATATTTAAATTCAACAAATAAATTATGCATCAAATGTAATATTGCAATTATTGTGTAAATTACGCTTCAGAGCGTTGTGAAATTATCGTGCTCTGTTGAATACGTTGAAATTTTTATCGTACAATTTGAGAGGACAATAATCAGTATAAAAAATGAGACTTCTATTAATCGTTGTTGTCGCGTGTTAAAATTTTCATACTCTATAACGTATACTGTCAATATCGAGGTATAATAACAATTACACAGAATGTTTCAAAGCGTAGAAAATATTCCGTCACAGTCGTTTTCGTAAAAACTTTTGCACGTCTCCGCGAGGGATTTGTAACGAAGTTGGGAATAAACTTGAAAGCGTTGCAGCGCGTTTTGCGTCGCTCGAAATTACAAGGACAATTTTGCGGAGGATCGTACAGTTTCTCGAAGTCCCGTGCGAGACATGTTGCACAAAGTTTCGTCGCTCCTCGAAAGGTTTTCATGGCCATTCAACCTCAGGCATTCTTAGGGGCCCAAAGGATCGCAACGGTATCGCAACAATATCTCAGAATGTTGCACAGCTTCTCGAGTGGTTTCGCGATCCGCAATAATGTTGCACAAAGTTAACAAAGCGCACGATTGTTCCCGACAAGCTACCCAGCTGCTTTCCGCTTAAAACGGATGTATTAATTCCACATTTCTCTATCCATCCTCGCGCAATTTACAAATGCTTTTCCATTTGAATAATCTAACTAACTAATTACGAGACACCGTCGCGGACTACCTCGTCTCGGCATTGCTTTCCACGCGAGGGATCATATTAAAATAATTACAGGAAAGACAGGAAAGACAGGAATTTAAGAATTTTCAGCGCGACGAAAAGGAAAATCTTTTCTCATCAGAAAGACTATTCATGAACTTTTGAACAATTTGAGAAAAGAAGCTTTTTCTACAGACAAGTAAAGGTTAAGAGAATATTTTTAAACTAAATTTCAAAATAAAGTTTAAAAAAAATTAAAAAAATCTCTTGCGCTGGAATGACGTGTCACGCACGTCGAGAATTTTTTGTTCCAAAATTGTAATATTTTCTCAGTTTCAAGTATATTTGAGCAAAACAAAATAGGCAGAACAAATAATAAATTTATTAGTTAATAATTTCTATCCAATGATATAATGACCGACGAGTTCAAAAAGAAAACGACGAATTATTGTATACGTATTTGGTCACTCGTTGTGGTCCGCAATCAGTTGCCAGCTCAAGTGGTTATATAAATTTCGAATTTACTTTATTTCTCACCTGTGTCATTAATAATGCACGTCAGTCAGAAACCACGTAGAGTGAATTGCATTTTATCGTCAATGGAATTTCAAAATGCGATATATTCTTCAGTGAGAAAGAAATAAAAAATAAATAAAAATACGGAGGGAAATTTTCGAAATTCTCGCGTGGCACAAGGTCGAAGCTTCTCATTCGTAGAAGAGAAAAAGAAGAAAAAAAAGAAGAAAGCTCACGATACACGTATATTGGAAACAAATAAATTCGTATACCGATTTCAGTCCCTAATATACACATCAGGTCCCTATTGGCAGAAAAGTCCGAGGATATTTTTGTCGGCGGCACAGCGGCGAAATATATATTCGAACCGGCCGATGCACCATTGAATGCCAAAGCCAGCTTGTACGATTGTGTTTACCTGATGCATGAATAGTTGATAAACCGAAAAAGTGTGCAACGAATACTCTCTGTGTTTCGAGTCCTCTGTGCTTTTCTCCTCCCCTTCGTCGAGCCTCGAATTCACGTTGGCCTGTTGCAATAGGAGAAAAAGTCTGCGTCCGAATTTTTAAATGAAAAAAAATGAACATAGAATAAACGTATCGCAGTGTCCCTGTTTTTTTTTTTTTTTTTTTTTTAGTGTGTTTACTTATTTCTTTCAACGATCTCGACAATCGTTATTCGTTTGCATTTATTGGGTAATACGTGTAAATATATCGAAAAGTGTATATATACATATAAATAATAGATAAAGGAGCATACGAAGTATCTATATAGAATGTCTCGTGATCACGACAAAAAAATCGATGCATCGATCGTTAACCTATTTGCATCACTTTGGCATAACTTTTACTGTACGATTGATCATATGCAATTTATCAAATCACTCGCAATCTGTTCTTATTGATAAACGTTTCTATTTTCTATTAATATTAATTACGTAATACACACTAATAAATGTACATCAATAATGTTAAAACCTAATTACCTGATAAATATGAAACTTTATAGTCGATTGCTACCAGCAGCTTATTCCGCGTTTGACGATACAAAGCAGATTCGATTACCCGTGAAATATTTCGCTCATAATGTAAATGGATCAACTCTCGTAAATTAAACAGAAAATGCAAATTATCAAACTTGATCTTCTCGAAGACAAAATTTTTGTGCATAGAATCATTCCCCTTCCCTCTTTAATTTAACCTCTCGCGCTGGAACGACGAGAATATTTGGCTCAAAATTGCAATATTTTCTCAGTTTTAAGTATATTGAAATATAACCCAGGGAAAACAAATAATAAATTTATTACTTATTAGTAATTTCTATCCAGTGATACACCGATGAATTCAAAAAGAAGACGAATTACAATAATTATTATATAATTACGTATATACGGTTTGGTCACTCGTTATGGTCCGCGAACCACTTACTAGCGCAATAGGCCAATGAAATTGGTATTTAAGAAAGAAAGAAAGCAATAAATCTTGGCAAAATGAAACGACATTCGACAATCCGAAATCTAAAGCAAATGTAGATTTAGAGACGATTTAGCTGTTGTTTCTACACGGCCGACTGGAGAACGCGGAAGAATCGTCAACGCGACGCGCTAAGTCCGCGCGAACAAACGAACGAACGAACGAACGAGCAGGATATCACGTCTCTGTTCCGGTTTCTGTGATCCGACCTGTTTGCATAGCAGTCGAGAATGCGCATCCATGTTATGAATACTGATCTCCGGTTTTCGGAGGCGACTAGCAGCCGGTTAATAACACGAGTATCGATCAACCAAAGCGTTGGGCCACTTCCAGCCTGCTGAGCGCGGACGTTGCTGTGGCCACCCCGTTGATATCCATGGGCGCTTTGCTCGGCAAGACGACCTATATGCAGCTAGTGTTCATGGGTATTCTCGAGCTGATCGTGTTCACCGTGAACAAGTACGTGGGCGAGCATCTGCTTATGGTAAGTCAATCCCACTTTCTACCGGCGTCACGCTCGATTTTCGGCAACGACTCCTGGCCCCTCGAGCACGCCGAGTTTCCCTCCCGATACCGGAAACGATCATCCCACGGAACGTACAGAGAGCTTTGCCAAGACCGTGTTGCTGGCTTTTATGGTAATAGGGAGATCGGTACACGTGGTGCAGAGATTGGAGAATTTTTACTAAGGAGACGAGAATCGTTCGTACGTAGCGGTTGATTTTTAAATAATTAAGGAATTTTCGAGAGAGATTTTTCGTACGTAGCGGCTGATTTTTAAATAATTAGGGAATTTTTCTATGATTATCTCTTTAATTTGACAATTTGGTAATAACTTTAAATTTTAGTAGAATATTTGAAGATTTAGAAGAACAGTTATTTAAGTTTAATCTTCTAAATAGAATTATCTCACATTTTGTAATGAATTTTGGAACTGAGATTAATGATAATTCAAAGATAATTGGAAATTTTTATAATATAGTACAATTTTATAGTGCAATAAGGTGTTAGTATAATAAAAAAAATGAATTGTTCTGCCGAATCAACAATTAAAATTAGATTCCAGAATTACTTACTTGTAGAATGTTTATATTTTCCACGTATTACGTGTATTTAATATACGAAAGACAAAATATACATAAATAAACTGTAGATCATTTATAAGCCAGAGATATTAATTGGGACAAAGATCCAGAGATATTTAATTCTATGAAATTCAAAGATAAACACTTGTATTTGAATTTTTCATTTAAGATTGTTAGATAGTTAATTTTGGACAATGAAAATGGAAACATAGATCTTTTAAATTCGATAAGTTTCGTCCGAGTGATTAATTAATTTTCCATTTAATTAAAGCTACAATTTCTGGCGAGTCATTTTATAGAACGATTAATACATAAAAACGTATCGATAACGTATAATACAATCGAAACAGACGTTGATAAAATTTTTCTTTGATGTTCTTCAATCTATGTTCTCTCTCTCCTCAACCACGAAGTTCCAAAAAGTTTGATATTTTCGAGGGAGCAATCACGAGCGGTATAATTTCGAAAGTTCCGTAAATTTCAAAGTTTTTGAACGACGTTTGAATAGAATTAGTGAATAGTGGTAATTAGGAAAGTTGCGAAAAGTATTCGAGGCGATCGATCGTTTAAAAAAAAAAAAAAAAGAGAAAGGAAAGGGAAGGAACGAAAGTCGGCTAGCGTGTAATCGATATCCAGGGAAGTCGAACGAAAACGTACCGATCAAATTGTTTCTCGTTCTTACTTTGCTTTATTGAATTTCTTCGAAAGTCTGTTTTTCTTAAAAAAAAAAAAAAAAATCTAGAATATCGTTGAAATCGCTGTTTTCATTGTATGTCCGAAAGAGTCGCAAACACGATGTGTATCACTCGTGATCAAGTATGTTTCCATAGTATTTTATATTGTTGGAACATTATGTTTACCGATTTTATTTTCGACTCGAAACGATGAATGAAATTTCTATTAGATCACACGTCAACGTTTATCGGTAAAAATGTTGTTACTGTATGAAACAGAAATGTTTTAACAAAAACGCCGTTCAACGTCGCTTACTATGAATCGAGGAGTATCAACAAAAGCAGTTCTTGACCTAAGTTTTTTTTTTCTTAATTTCTTAGACAACTGTCCGTTTTGCGATGAAATTTTTATCTTATCGAAAATTGATGTTGATTTTATAAAAATTTTTCCCGTTAGATTCGCAATTTTGTGATTTAATTAGATATTATAGTTCTTCTATGATATATCGAAATGAAATTATGTATACAAAAAATACTTATAAAATATATTATACATTGTGACAAACATTCTTTAAAAATCAATATGATTGTATATTATCTATATTTTGATTTATTGTGAAATTAATGGACCTTACGAAAATATTTTTTATTATATTCACAATTTTATAATTTTATTAAATAGTTCTGAGATTGTTAGTAAAATTTACGTAATACGATGAATATTTTGTTTACAAGAATTGAAATATATTGTCACAAACACTTCGATTTTTCATTTAACTCAATAATGTGTTTATCAAAAGTATCAAAAAGCACAGACACTCTATCAAGACTAATGCTCTAAGTACTTTGATCAAATCGAATTAAAACTCAAATTTTCACTTCGCAGGCCGTCGATGCGGGTGACAGTATGTTTGTCCACGCATTCGGAGCATACTTTGGACTTGCTGTTAGTTTCGTATTTGGGATGAAGGACAAGCCCAAGGAACATCATCTCGAGGGACCATCCTACAACTCCGACATTTTCGCGATGATCGGTCTGTCTTTCAATTTCTTCCACGCTTCACCAACGAAACATCACTAATTTTGTTAAATTTTAACCCTGCGCGCAACACTTATCAAATACGAAACAAAACTTTATTTTTTGCATTGAAACAACATTGATAATGGTGAAACTGGTGAAAGAGCCAAGTCTTTTCAAATTTCTTTCATCATAAACATCAAATTCAATTCCCTTCGAAATGTCACAGCAAGGAAGAAAAAAAAAACAATTTCCATCACACGTTGAAATTAAATCAAATTTCAACCAATAATCAATGTAACCATCTATGTATCCCTCTCTTCAAACCGTACTGCGATTGTCACGTTGCACAAACGAATTCATCGGCGCGAACCGACGAAAGATAAGGTATCTTTGAGGAAAACGTACGACACAGTTCTAGTTTGCTTCTATAGGCACGGTATTCCTGTGGCTGTTCTGGCCGTCGTTCAACAGCGCCGCTCTAGAAGGAGACGATCAGCAAAGAGCCATTATAAACACCCTTCTGTCGATCTCGTCCGGCTGTGTGATCGCGTTCGCGACCTCCGCCCTGGTCTCCAAGGATAGCAAATTCAACATGGTACACGTGCAGAACTCGACGTTGGCCGGCGGTGTAGCCATCGGCACCGCGGCAGGTACAAGACGACCTAATTAATCGGAGATTTACATTGGACGGTACTCAGGCCCTTGTGCGTCTAACCGAACGACATTTTCTGAATAAACACAGGCATGATGTGCAAACCGGTGGGTGCTTTGGTCGTTGGCGCTCTGGCTGGACTACTCAGCGTACTCGGCTACAAATATCTCACGGTAATTGGCTCCGTTACGTTTTTTCTTTCCTTTTTTTCGCTGTACAATCATAGAAACTACCAAATTTTTTCGTTCGTTTTAATTCGATCTGATTCACTGATTTTTATTAGAAAGTTTCACAGGAAATAAAACTGTCAACGACAAATTGATCGTGACTCAAGAAAAAAACTCAAGTGGAGATGATGCAATTAATTATCTAATATTGTTTGCTACACTGTAACCTCAAGCACTCGTGTGTATTTTAATAATAATGTATTTTCAATACTTGTCAAATCTTCATTCATCGTATTTTTCTTAATTTAACCTAAAAGAATGTACGAAGATGACACGCGAGACGATCGTATTGAAACCATAACGTCCCTATGTTGTTATCTTAATGAGTTTCCTAAACTACAACCGCGGATAGTTATTAAATCGTGTTCGTATTATAAAATAAAGTTAATAAATTTAATTATTTGGAAGCCAGTGGAATGATCCCGTTCGATAATCATGCAAATGTAGAAGTCCTTCCTTCCTCTCTTTATCTCTTTCTCTCTTTCTTTCTTTCTTTCTCTTTCTCTCTCTCTCTCTCTCTCTCTCTCTCTCTCTCTCTCGCCTCGGTGGAAAGTGTTGACGAGGTCGACTGAAATTTTTAAAGCTGCCAAAGTGGCGGAGAAACTTCCCCCGGCGCGGTTCGTATACGTGGGGAACATAAATTTCGCGGAAAGTGGGTTCCGTCGATGGAACGACGTGCACGTGAAGCCCGGGAAACGATTATGAATCGCGAGCAAATTAAATTTACCGGCACGTGATCGGCTCTGACGTCGGTTATCCTCGATGGTTACCTCCAACAGCCTGTATCGCGTTACTTTCGTATTTCGTTACCGTCCAGTAGCCAGATTCTCGTTAATCTCCCGTGTCAATGCCGTGATTTCACGTATCGCGGATTAGTTATCACCGTGATCACATCGTACGATGCTTTTTTTCAAAATTGTTGCACTTTGTCAGAAAGTGTTCTCTCTCACACTCGTAACTGTATTTTTCGCCGAATTGGCGAGCTCTTCTCTTTATAGTTGAAGAGAACAGAGTTATTTCGTTGATGTAGCAAATGTGAAAAAGAGAATTGTATCTCTTTTTGTATTTTATATATTTATTTGTATTTTATAAAATCAATAGCCCATATGTATAAATTTATAAATTTCTAGTGTTATTTTATAAATTTATAATGTATAAATTTCTTAATGTATAATTTATTTTATAAATTTATAATGTATAAATTTCTTAATGTATAATTTATTTTATAAATTTATAATGTATAAATTTCTTAATGTATAATTTATTTTATAAATTTATAATGTATAAATTTCTTAATGTATAATTTATTTTATAAATTTATAATGTATAAATTTCTTAATGTATAATTTATTTTATAAATTTATAATGTATAAATTTCTTAATGTATAATTTATTTTATAAATTTATAATGTAATAATTTATAATGTATAAATTTCTCGATATTTGAAAATTCTTTCTTGATCTTTCACTACCATTTTTAATCTAAAAACTTTTCCTCTGTATCTCATACAGTTTCGTAAATATTCGCGGCAATACGAAAAGTCAAGATCTTTTTCCTGAAAGAAAGAAAGATCAACAAACGGAGGAAGAAGAAAGGATCAAAGTATCGATACCATGTAATTTCACCCAGCATCTCTCAATTTTCACGGAACACAAACAAAACTGTTCCCTTAGGGTCAAACTATCGATAACGCGTAATTTAACCAACTGTCCCTTAATTCGCACGGAATACAGACTTTTCAACTATTTCATTCGAGCCCTAGGTCGCCCTTCGGTTTCGACAGTGGAATATAGAAGCCGCGCGATGGCGGTATTGACTTAGGAAGATCCGCAGAAGACGAATAATCATCGCGAAGAACTTTCGTCGGAAGTTCTTTTAATCATCCGGGCGATTCATTCGCGTGGGGATTTCCTTCGCGGCTCGCTAATCCCATATTCTTTATGTACTTTGTTCTTCTGGCTTCCTTCACAGTTTCCTTCCGTGGAAGGTACTATTTCCAATATTTCAAACGCGTTGATCAATGATCTTTTTCGAAATATCTGACGATAATTCGCCGATTAACAAATAATACGTAAATCTCGCGTCTATTTTGTTGAAATTTCTTCCTTCGAAGACTTCGAAGTTCAATTTCATTAACAGTGATACTAATAACAATGGAACACTATTCGATTGTTAAATCATTAAGGACGTTGCATTGACGCAAATTGCAATTTACGTCATCGAATTCTGTTTCTTAATTCGCTTGATATTTTCTTTAATGCTTCGCAATTTATGTTCAAAGAAGTCGATGCATGAACGAGTTAAAATTGTAGCTTGAAGATAAGAAAAGGACCGATATATTTTTGCGGAGGACGAAAAAAAAAAGTATACACATGGGGGTGATATTTTTTACGCGACGACAAGAAAAAGAGAAAAATTCGAAGTAAATTGTTCTCAAAGCGGTGCACATCATCCACTTAGTGTTTCCTATTTTGTTATCTTTCTCGCTCGTTTAACGCTCACGTAGATCTATGCTTTCCACGAAACAGTCAGTGGAAAGCATAACAGTAAATATTAAAGCGTATCTGAAAAAAACTCGCAAATTTGCGTGAAATTTAAGAGCGGCGATTAACCGTACGTTACGGATGCGTTATTATTATTAGTGTTAATAACTATTAACAAGGTTTAGTAGAACACCAAAGAGCATAAAAAAAAAGAGAAAAAATAAATAGACGAAAAGGATAAATTACCGTAGCGTAATGTATTTCAATTTAAACGTCATTTAAATTGCCAATTTAAATCGTCATGTTTTTTCGATGAAATATAAAAAAAACGTTAAAAAAAAAGACAAAAAAAGAAATGGAAAAAAAACGGCAATTTGAAAGCTACAATTCTTTTTTGGCAGTCGTTTTAATCGGAAAAAACGATGCATACGAAAAATATGTACAAATGTTAAATTTTCGTCGTGATATTTTTGTTTGTCACCAACTCTTTTTGTTTCAATGTGTCCTTCTAAATTTCGTAAAAACGAAAATTACGCGAGAGGAAATTTTTTTTTCACGTGCTGCGGGCATCGTGTTCAAAGAGAAGAGTAATATTAACTAAAATAGGTAAAAAAAAAAAAAAAAACAGAGAGAGAGAAACGTTCAACTGAGGCTGGAAATAAATTAAATTGGTTTTCCAAAGTAAAAAAAAAAAAGAAAAAAAGAAAAAAATTTCACAAACTACTGTCTCATTAATACTCTCGTCCTAATTAATACTCGATCGTTATCTCTCATCTACACCCGTCATCAACCCTAATACCTTAATTACAATCTAGATTTCATCCACCTTATCATTAATTCTCACAATCCTAACCACCATTCCTGGAAGTCTTCCACTCTGACTTTATCCTACAATTTATCTCAATCCTCAATCTTCACTTCAATTTTACTATATTTCAATAAATACAAGAAACCAGCTGTACTTTTCGAAAATTTCCTACTTTCAATATTAATTATCGATGAACGATGATTATTTACATTACATGTAAAATTTAATTTTAATCAAATATTATTTAAATTAAATCGTATTCTTTGAATATACTTTGAGTGTAAACGAAGACGAATTTAAAAACCACGATGTAACTTATTTGCGAAAATTAATAACTTATTATTCCACGATTGTAATTTAAGTAAAATTTGCAGTCTGAATCCAGTACAAAATTTGCAAATTTTAAACTATTAAACTTTTTCATTATATCAATTTGTTCATTTCAGACAAAAAGAATCAATTGTATATCAATTTTTTTACCAATATCAAGCAACAAGTCAAATTAAAAAAGAATAAAAGATCGACGAGAATTTACTCACCCTTTACAGCAATCTTCCTCGAACTCGCGATAGCCAGGCTTTCAGTCACGATTCTTCCGCTTCTTCTTCCAGCCACTGATCCAAAAACGTCTGAGGATTCACGACACGTGCGGCGTGCACAATCTCCACGGGATGCCCGGCGTTTTGGGCGGTATCTTCGGTGCGCTGATGGCAGGCCTCGCTAATGAAGCTTCTTACGATTATTCCCTTTACGAGGTGCGTAAGTTACTCCCTTTTTATTCTCCTTAAGGGAGAATTAATCGAGTTCGCAAGGAATGACTTATGTATGTGACTAGCCAGTGTGGATAGCAACGAACTTCTACCTGTTCTACAGGACAAAAAGCCTCAGAGACCGTTTAATCTATCGGTCGTAAAACGAACATCCCACTTGGTGAAAGTAACAAACTCGTGGCTGTTACTGTTGTTGCTAACCAACGGAACTTTGGACTTTGCTAGATCCCAGGGGATGACCGCGGAGATCTTTGCCCTGCGTTCTCTATGTCATTGGATCTTGAGTTACTTGGACTTAGTAGATCTTGGATTTGATAAAAGATGATGGAAATGTGTTGATGATTTTTGATATTCTTTTTCCTATTGGTATCTTAAAAATTTTCAATCAGAATAATCAAATCAGTTAGGCATGCATATACGTCAAAAATTCTGGAGTTATGTTCCTCTTCTTATCAGATTCTTCACACTCTTCACTCTTTCTAAACATTCTCTTTCCAAACGTGAATCACTTACCATTCTTACACTCTCTCATTCTAAACAATCACACTTTACAACACTTTTCATTCAGTTAGTATTGTACAACTGTCGTTCAATATTTCCACTCACACTTTGGTTCATTCACTCACACATCTAAACGTCTGTTATAAATTGTCCAAAAAACATTGACTAACAAATATATGTGAAAGACTTGAATGATTATCAAAATACATGATCCATACATGTATTTTATTTCTAGAATTTCCCTCTTTTGGAATGAGAGATATCAAATTTTATTGTAGACTTCAAATTTTCTTTCATTACTATGTAATTAGAATTGCTCAGATATAAAGATCTTTCGTAACTTGCTAAGAATCATGAGTAATCTTTAAATTTATGATTCATATATTGTTTCATTGAAAATCTGGCTTTTCCTTATTAGATCTTTCCCGCGAGAGCACCAAGCTCTGAAGCAAAGTTAGCTGAGATGAGGGACAATTATGGTATATCAGCTGGGCTTAACAGAACAGCAGGGGAGCAGGCTGGCTATCAATTATTAGTACTAGCAATTACAGTGGGAATCGCTATCGTTTCAGGATTAATAACAGGTAATCGTTTCTCATTGATTATCCGCATGACATTTTGATAATGATAAATTGCACGACTCTTCACTGGATTTCCCTCGAATTTTGGCAGAAAAGGACATAAACAATTATTCAGAATATTAATCAATTTCAAAATATTCAATGCAAAAGTTATTAAAATTAACAATGCAAATTTCTTTGCACTTTTTTCTTGCGATAGATATATAGCAGAAATGTAAATTTATACGTAGCTTGCTTTGAGATCACATCGACATCACACTGGGGCAAATAAATTCCTGTGTAGGTTTAATGATGCGGATGTCAATCTGCGGTTCTATTTCCGAGGAGCAAAAATTCGACGATGAAGCCCACTGGGAATTGGAAGAGGAATCTTCACAGGAGTCGAAAGTCAAAGAAGGGAACAGCTGTGGCGGCGATCAACTGCCAATGGCCCATATCTGAAGCGGGTGCTTATAGTATATCGATATATCGATATATCGATTTATCAATATTATATATCGATAACAGCAGAAGATTCCGCTTGCATATGAATGCAAATAAAGGAAGAAATTAGAACCGTAAACCTAGAAAAATTTGTAAAATTTATTAAACAATTTGTTAAACATCGTATTCGACGCGTATTTGACGCGTATTCGACTGATGCAACAATACACAGTCGGTTATTTCATACATATTCAACAGGTATCAAAAAGTGGACTAGAGAAATCAATATTACAGAAAACGGACCACGTAAAATGAAACAATTATGGAAAGAAAAGCGAAGCATACAAAAAATGTATGGTATTCCATTTTCTTTCTTTTAATTGCATTATTTATATTTTTTAGAATATTCTATAAATTTTTACGGTAAATCATTTATAAGGGCGAGCGTTTCTAGGAATAGCAGTATTTATCGGATCGTCTAGCGTATTAAAATAATTATTGTAAAAGCACTATAGATCGATCAGAAATAATGCATATTTAAACATGATAATATATTATTCTTGCTAAACTTTTTGTATATAATTATAATAATAATGGTAATAGAGATAATTCATTCCTTAAAATTGTCAATAACAATCCATCGAAATTTTAATTATTTTTTTTTATGTAATAAGTTTAATATCGTCTTTTAGTATTCAAATCAACAATTACTTCATTAACGCATGTACCACCACTTTTGCGTTTAATGATTTCAAATCGGTATAAGTTTGCCCTGTCCCAATGAAAACGATAGGTTGTCCGGTAATATAGGTCATAGAAATCGCCGCGCCTACCTGAAAATCCAGAAACAATATAAATAATAAATAATATAACAATATGTCATAATAGAACTATTTAATTATATCCTATCAACAAATTCTATTCACCTTATCATCGATTGTATCAAATTTAGTTAACACAATGCCATCAATGATATGAGGATTGTTGGACTGACTATGATCGGCTAGTGCTTGATTGAATTTCACCAATTGATCAACAGCTTCGTTTCCAACAAGAGCTTCACCAACAAAAAGTACGAGATCTGGTTCGTTTACTTTAATCAACTTAGTCAAGGCTCTCATTAACGGTTCGTTATCTTGCATCCTGCCTGCAGTGTCCACTAAAACCACATCGATTTTCGAGTCCTTAGCGAAACGGATCGCTTCCATGGCAATACCAGCAGCATCTTTTCCATAACCTTTTTCGTACAATTGAACCATAGTTTGATTTCCATGTTTCTCCGGTGGATGAAGAGCATTCAAATGGCGCATATGTGTTCTCAATTGCTCAACTGCACCAGCTCTGAAATAAAATTAGATAAAAATATATCTATATTGAAATAGAAAATTAATAAACAAATGACGATGTACTAATTAAATAAGATACCTAAATGTATCACATGCTGCAATTAGCACGCGAAAATTATTCTCTATAAGCCAAAAACAAATTTTCGCTAGATTTGTTGATTTTCCCACTCCATTCACACCGCAAAAGGTCATAACGTAAGGTCTACTGTTCTTTTTTGCTTCCATTGCATCTCGCAGAATGTCCACACGTCTCTTTGGGGACAATATTTGTACCAACGCGTCGGTCAACGTGGCTTTGACGGTATTAGCTACACTGTCAAATGTACCAAGCACTTTTCCTTCAAGCTTCACACCAACAGAATCGCATAATTTTTGAGCAATTTCGGCTGCTACGTTTTTTGAAATCAAATGATCCTTCAATTTTTCTAAAACCGGAGCCATGTCTTCACGTTTCAACGATTTGTTACCAACCAAACTTTTAAACATTGAAAACATGCTGTTGGTTTTCTTTTGTACTTGTGGCTTGGAATTTTCCATTTCTTCGTCAGACTCATCCTCAGAGTCACTTTCAACTACTATATCACGAATACCGCCTTTCATTTGGCCCACTAACTAAAAAGACAATTTAATACATTCAATTTTTGACTCACTAAAAGAATGATTTAAATAATTCATTTTTTAATTATGCAAATAAATTATTAAACATAATCATCATTGACAAAAAATAAATGATTTATACTGTTTTATCAGCTGCCACATAATCACCACTTTCTTCTGGTTTATCTTTGGTGCGTTCCAAAGCAGCAAGATCTTTGATGGTCCCACCTAATTCCCATACACGAGGTTTCTTGCCAGCTTTCTCGGGTTTTTGACCTTTTCTGTGAAATATAAATATCTCATGTAATTCATATTATTTAATATAATAAAAAACTTCTTATTTCAGAAATTAAGAAACTCACTGCTTATCAACTTTCTTCTTTTGATTATTCATTTTTTGTGCCAATTTCATACGATTTGCAATTAAAACTTCTTCATTTATTTCTCCGTTATGATTTATTTGATTGTGTGATAAATCCTGTTTTGGTACCTCTTGAATTTTCACTGTGAAATTAAGTAAAAGAAAGAGTATAAAAAATTACGAAATTATTGAAAAACAGACAAACTTAAATTTAATTATCTTTTAATAATTCATCATTAGAAATTTAACTTATTTAGAAAATTAATTCCCCAATCTAATCATTGTTAATATTGTTGATCCACAGCAAAAGTGAATAATTCATTGATATGTACATATGTAAAATCCAAAATCACTCACTTTGATCATCTTTATTAGTATTAACTCCCTTCTTCCTTTTACCTAAAAGCGAAGACCCCCATTTCCATACTGAAAACGATATATTACTACCTAAATGAAAATTTCTTGCCATTCTATATTAGATTCTAGACAAATAACTCATGATACTCACTAGTAAGAAATAAATGAAAAGACCAAAAATTTTACATTAGTCCAAAACCACTGTCAACCTTATAACCATAAATAACAGAATTACTTGTATTACATAAAGAATTACATCCAAACCATTTTAAATACAAGAAAAAAAACAATAATGTAAAAAAGAATACAGATAGCATTAATCTACAGAAATGAAATAATTAGTATATAAAGCTTATTAAAGGCAATGTATTTGAAATAAATGAAACATGTGCTGTGAATAAAAAAACGTGCTTCCACGTTGCAATTGTTACATACCCTGTTTTTTATTATCTTTATCATCTTTCCGTTCAATCATACTAGCAACAGTCTTCTTTGATTTTTGACTTTCATCGAAGGTACGCATTTGTTTAGGTATCTTAGCCTGTGTCCTTGCCCATTGTTCAGCCATAGCAAGCACTTGCTCGTAATTATTTTGAAATTCAAAGTTATAAAACCATTTAGAGTTCTCCAATTCATTTTTGAATCTATCTCTGAATTCTAAATGGATGTCATTTAAAAATTTGTCTACATACGATAATTGTAGTATCTTTTGATATGCAACAACAAACACCAGCTCAAATTCATTATCAAGTTTGTACTGTAAGCGTAAGGAATCGTATTCAAATGTATGGTTTCCCGTACGTTCCTGTAAAAAGAAATTATAGAAAAAGAAATTAATTGTTTAATGATCAGTTATTTGTATATGAAAACTATTTCTACGATCAAATAATTAATAGCACTCCATATAGACGTAATCAAATTTAAAAAAAAACAAATATCAAAACAGCAATACTTACTTGCAATATGACACTTCGTATTAACGCATTAACACTGGGTGCAAATATTTGCGAGGTGCTTTGAAAACACCATAGAACAATACCACCTTTACTGAATATAGTAAATAAATCGAGCATGATTGTACGATTCTTAATAATAAAAAAATGTTTGATTAATATTGCGACCTAACCTACTGATGATCATGCACTTTAATTTTTGTACACGTCAGATACTGCAACAAACCTTAGAATAAAAGCTATAAGATACGACAAAACGTGAACATTGAGATGTTTTAAGGCAACTACACATTGCAATGAAAGGCCATGAAAGGGCGCCAGATTTAGAAAGTAGTTTTGGATGAGGGAACTATTTCAAAATATTAAAAATCTTTTATCTTTGAAAATTATATGAAGTTATATGAAAGTTACATAAAAATTACACAAAGTTATATCCAAAATATTATACTATTGGTAAATATATAAAAAAAAAAGTCTAAAATTATTCATTACTTTTCCATTACTCCGTTATATTTATACAAATAATTTAAATAAAAAATTATTCATATAAGAAAAAATATTAATTTTTCATAACAATATTTATTTTTAAAAATTAAAGAAATATCTAAGAAATGACATAACATCAACTTCATATTTAAATATTCATTATTAATTACCTCATCACAAACAGTCACTACTAGTCATGCTAATAATAATGCTGTATCTATAATTAAAAATATAGTTGTTGTAAGACATATTTAAAATATTTTCTATTAAACATTCAACATTGTATAGATTTGTAAGTAAAATATACTTTCCTAGTTTTGAAACACAAATTTAATGCAATTAGAATAATATTCTGAAATATTAAACAATTTTCTACAATTTATTTTTTTTTTTTTTTTTACTTTATCAATACAATTATTCTTTAAACCGAATAATGGATATATTTTCAGTGCTATAATTCTGAACAGGCAGTGTATGATGATCGCATATACTTAAGCTTTCAACTTATCTTATACATTATTATGCATAAAGTAAATATAAAAATGTATAATGAAAACAATTCCATTAATGATATATACAATAACTCCATAATGCTTTACATAAATTAATAAGATTTCATAGTAGCTTAGTTATAAATTTCTATAAGGCTGTATTAGAACCATACATCATCTGAAGAATTTGAATGTTTGTAGACATCTCTTGTTCACTTCTGTACACTATTGTAGTCGAATAAAAATATGTCATTATGATAGTGAGAAAAACCTGCAATAATAATGATCACATAAGGCATTGAATATCTAATACTTGTATAAAATATATTATAGAAAAAACGCTTATGATAACGATGATGTTTCAAATGCTTAGAATAAAACAACATTTATAATTTTCAAAAATTTTTTATATAATTGAAGAAAATCAAATAAAAAAGAAAATACTTTTCATATATAAATGTACAAAAAAATTTCTTTTATATTCGTAAAAACGTACATTACAGTCTATAAGAAAATTAAAATGATGCTCACACATCACCTTATTCGCATCATCTAAACTGAAGTTCAAAAATTCCCTTCCGAAAATGGACCAATTTATGAATACATGTACAGATATATAGAAATTACGTAAATACAAATATAATGCTTTGGCTATAAGTTCTTTGTTCAAATAAATTGTGAAGATTTATTATTATAATAAATTTGTCGAATTTGAAAAATATCACGATATTAACAAATTTGTAAGAAATTTTATAAAATTGTAATATTTAACTATGAAGAACAGTATTACTAAGAAAACAGTCTTTATATGATATCAATAATACTGTAAGAAAAACATTTTTTCCTAATATAATGCAACTTTTTACACAAGATTTTAATCGTAAATTTGACCGATAACTTTATATATATTTTATTATGTTTCTACGAAGTTTTCTCTCAAAGTTTGTAAAAATATAAAAAAATCATTCTTTAAAAGATAATCGTATAAATTATTTACATGTGAATAATATTAGTTTTTATCATATTTTCTAGGTAACCTAGAAATAAATTTAAATCATATATACTTTGTGCGTGTTAAGGCGCTTCCTCCTTTTGTGGGATCCATCATACGATCCCAATTTGTATGACCAACTACAAATCCTACAGCACGCATTTTTTCTTGTTCTTTACGTTCTTCCAAATCTGCCCACCGTACCTGTTAAATTTAACAATTCATGATAATTTTATCTGTACTTTTTAGTGATGAACAAAAAAAATATACTTACGCGTTTTTTACCAGAAGTATCTTCCATGTTATAATAATCGGGAACTTGAAGGAAATCTTTCATAGTCTGCACTTTTCCTTCATTTTTCTTTTTTGCTAACCCATCCAAACGATCTGTTTTAAATTGATAATGTTAGATAAACTGTGAATTGTTTGTAGAATATACTAATATTTTATAATGTATATAACAACAAACCTAATTTATCTTCGGCTTCCATACGTTCCCATTTGCTAACTCCCTATAAATGAATAACAATATGTATATATGTCTAATGAACGATCGTGATATTTATAAAATAATATTATAAAAGTAGCAAATATTACAATAGTATCTTGAATATCATCTTGACTATCTTGACTATCTTCATTTTGTTGAGAAGATTTCTCCTGAGCTTCTTCAGTGTCTTCCATATGAACCTAAAATCAAATAAATAATGATTTCATCTAAACATTTCATCCATAAAAAAAAACAGAAATAATCTAGTTGAAGAGACATACTTCTTCAATTGCTTGTTCTTGTAACATTGAATTAACATCTAATTTTTGATGATAGTTTGGAGTTGGCTCAAAATAATCTATAATTCTATTTATTTCATCTTCTGTACGATTGTGAATATTTCTTTTTAAACAAATTTGTAAATCCATTTCCATTTCACACACATACACCTATAAACATTTACATAAAAAAAATATTTTTTAAAAATTGTTCTTTTTTTTCATCTGTTCGAAATTCGAGGCTACAACTTACTTTGAAACCTTTCGTTTTAGCAAAACTCCACATTTCTTCATAATCAGATATTTTTTCGTTAATACAATCTAATATAATAAAATTGAAGAAACCATCGGTAATGTTCTTCTTAAAAGCTTTAACAAGAGATGCAATGTAACTTTGCTCCATTGCTTCCTCATATTCATAGACCATTTCCTATAAAGTTCATTAAATCAAAAGAAAGCCATAATTTATTTAATTTTAAATTTAATTCAAAAAAATAACAATTTGCTTTATACCTTAACTATAATCTTCTTTCCATTATCATCCATAGATTCTATTTCTTTCTCTACCAAGAAATAATCATCAAGACTTAATATTCTTGGTGCAGAACCTCCCTGTTCAACTTCTTTATCCTATAAAAAGATATTATATTCAAAATTGTTATATTATAAAATTATAGTATTAGTAGATGAAATAAATTATATTTCAATAAACATGACTCTACCTTAATAAGTTTTGCCACAAATGATTTTCCACTGCCTGGTGGACCTCTTAAAATTATAGCTATTTTTGGTGGTCTGTTCTGACGACCTGGAGGACACAATAAATCATCCACCATTGTGCAGTTTGATGTTTTTGCCAATTCCAAAGTTTTTGGTGCAGCTTCCAAGACATTGTGCTGAGTATCTGTAACACTATAATAAACAATGTCAACTTATTAAAAGATCTCTATAATCTATTTTTAATCTTTATATATACAATAAATGAAAAATAATTTTCTTTATATAACTTGAAAGAAATCGTAATAGAAATAAACAATTATTTAAGTCATAGGAATTGATATATTCAAATTTAAATGCATTGTATTTCATGTTTTTTGCACAAGGTATTAAGACATTAAAGAATTTTAAAAGTATCAAACGCAGTATAAGAGAAATATTTTGGAAGCTATTTTAAAAAATAGCCATCACCTGAAAAATAGTAAATGTTTTCCCATATTGCCTTATTGAAGTAAATTAATTAAATCGCAAAAATCACGTTTGCACATAATACAAACAGACTAAAATAAAATATGTTTGTATTATGTTGCTATGTGATTTGTGTATTTAATCCTACAAATTTTCACAAGATATATTATAAAAGAATAAGACCATAAATAATTTTCACTTGCAAATATAAATAAACCTTTCATGGTTTAAAATACATAATATTAATTAATATTAATAATATAATATTATTAATAATATAATCACATAAATGTATACATATTATAAATAATGAAAACCAATGGTTTTCTAAATATTTTCATGTGTCAATAACATTGACACAATGAATAAGAGCATATATGTATAATAGCATTTTGTAACTGCATTTTAGCAGTTTAAAAATAGAGAACGAGAGCGAGGAAGAGAAAGAGAAAGAGAAAGAAAAAGAAAGAGTGAATATAAATTTGCATAAATAAGTCTTCATACTTTATGCAAAATGCAATGGTTATCAGAAACATTATATCTATAGATGGTTACCAATGTGTGTTGAAATATAAATTTAAGAACACAAAAGTCATGAAAGCATTTATTTTACAATATTTCGAAGACTAAAACATTTAGAATGCATTTAATAATCAATAAGACATACCTGGTTTCTGATGGCTTTGTATCTATGATGTTCTTGTTCGAATTCTCCTGCCAGTTTATATTTCCTTTCGATCTAAAGAAAGTTATATATTTTCAAACGAAATTGATTTGCATTAATGTTAATATCAATCATGATTTACAATATTTTATTTGTAAACATAAATACGTTGATAAGTTTATAAATAATATACTTATTGTACCATACCTATCTTCATCTTTGTCATTTTCTTTATTTGTTTCCTTTTGAGAAGTTTCACATCTTTCCCGCGTTCTTTCTACAAATTTGGAAAAAATAATAATAACATTGCCAAGCAAAATTGCCTGTGCAAGTGTATAAGTGAACACCAATAAATACATATGTATGATTTTTAAATATGTTTTTACAAATTTCAACACTGAAAAACTGTATCAAATTACCTTTAGTCGAATTCTTTTCAAAACGGTTATCTAAATCTTTATCAGATGTATGGTCAAATATCCTATCATCATGTTCTTTCATTTTATAATCTTCTTTTTCTTTGTGTTCCCTTTCAGATTTCCTATCGTCGATAAATTCTTCGCTATTTCTTTTTTGCTTATAGTCTCCTGACCGCCTAGATTCTGTCTTGCTTGCATAACATTCGTACCTCCTTATTCTATCTGTGTAGTCTTTCAAATTCTGCTCGTTCTCCTCCCAATTTCTAAAATCTTTTGTCGGGTACATCTCATGCTCTGGCACTAATGGTTTTAAATTACCATGTCCATAATCAAAACACTGCACAGGAGTTAAGTGATCTTGAATCGATGATCGAGAAGTATGGGCATAATCTATTACTTTAACAGGTATGTGTTCAAGAAATTTCTTGTCACCGCCGGCCCCGCCGTGATTGTAATTAAATTGTTTCTCTATGCAAAATTCTTTCACAGGTGGACACCTGATTTGAGACTGTCGATTATCCATGGATCGTTTCATGTACATATTAGAGTTATCGAATTTTGTATAATCAGAACCTGATGAAGGATCTGAATATCCAGTCTTATAATCACCTACTGTCATATCGTTCATATTTCTCTCTGATCTTTTATCAGAAATATTACATTTATTTCCATTCATAGGAGATCGTCGTTCTATGTTGTTCGCTGCAATCTGATTGAACGATTCATTTTGAGTTAACATGGATTTATCAGAATAACCTCTTCCAGATCTTTGATCTATATCTCCAAAGCTATTTTTAGAGTATGGTTGCCTCCAGCCTGCATTCTGTGTATCATTAGAATCAAACTGCCTTTGCTGTATATTTTCGTCAATTAGTATTTTTTCATTATTAGCGAATATTTCACCACTTGTTTCTGATGTACCTGGAATTTTGGGGCCAGAATTGTTGTCAATTGGTCCTTTTGATCTAAATTCTCCAATTGCTCTGACATCAAGTTGTCTATTATCGAAGGGTCTATCAGACTGACCTCGAGATGGGAAGGAAGTATCAACTGTATCACCTATCGGACCTCGTGAACCAAAATATGTATCATTAGAACCCTGTGGGCCAAAGCATCCGTCAATGGAATTATCAAATTGTTTTTCATTAAATCTATTTGGAAACTGGGCGTCGTTTGCTATTTTTGAACCAGTTGGATTTCGTTGGTAAGATAGATCATTGCGTCGTGAACCAAAAAGTTTTTCATTGGGTCCCGAAAATCTAGACTGTCCTTCGTTTAATCCTCTAGGAATAAATTGAGAATCACCAGGACCTCGATTATCAATTGACCTATTATTAGATCCCTGAGGACCAAACTGTCCATCGCTCGTACTTCTAGAGCCGAATTGTCCATTATTAGGTCTTCTTAAGCCTAATTGAATATCGTATCTGGGGTCAAATTGTCCAATATTCAAAGGTCTGGATCCAAATTGTGTATTATTAGGAGCTCTTAGTCCAAACTGATTATCAGCAGGACCTCTTGGCCCAAATAATCCATCAGTAGGACCTCTTGGACCAAAGATTCCATCATTGACACTTCTAGGGCCAAATTGTCCATTGCCAGGACCTCTTGGACCAAAGGGTCCATCACCAGGACCTCGAGGACCAAACTGTGTATTGTTATGACTTCTTAGACCAAATTGTCCGTCGTTCGGACCTCTTGGACCAAATTGTCCATCGTTCGGACCTCTTGGACCAAATTGTCCATCATTCGGACCTCTTGGACCAAATTGCCCATCGTTCAAACTTCTTGGACCAAATTGTACGTCGTTGGGTCCTTGAGGACCTAATGGATACGGATTTGGACCAGAAGAATTAAATGGCGATTCAAACATAGGAAGTCTAACGTCGTTAGGACCTCTTGGACTTAAGAAGGGTACATTTGGTCTAAATGGCATTCCTCTTGGACCGAATGGAGAATCAAAAGGTCCTCTTGGATCAAAAGACTCAGTATTACTTGCAAATGGTTTCAAAGAAGACTCCTTTGCGTCATATGATTCATCTGTTCTTTGTATAGAATCAATAGTTTTATTAGTGTCTGTAAGAACAGGACCTAAATTAGGTAATTCAGGGGGTGGTTCCATATTTAAATCTTCAGGTTTCGGATCATTTTCTCCCATGAAAGGTAACACCTCCGTTTTTTTCTCAATATTTTCACTATTGTTATTAGATAGCTCTTGTTTTGCTTCTGTTTGTTCTTTGAATGCATTTTGTGAATTCTGTTCTGAACAGCTATATTTTGCAGACGGAATTTCTTCCTCTTTAATACCATCCTTCTGCAATGAGTTATCTTCGGGAAGTTGAACATCAATCCAGGGTGGCTTTTCTAATAATGGAATGTCCTTTTGTACTGAATAGTTCTCAGAATTGTCTTTCTGTGCGTTATCGACATTTTGTTCAGTCGCTTTCGAACTATTTACCGCAGTTTGTTCTACTACAATAGGAGACTCATTTTTAATCTCGTTTTTCACATCCATGTCGTTTCTAATATTCACAATTTCCGATCTAGGTTCGGTATTTGTAAAATCTTGTACATGTGGACTAGAATTCGGTCCTTTGAACGAACTTCCAGTTCCGTCCCGTGAATCGAACGAATTATTGCGTACAATTCCTGGAGAACCACGCGGTCCAAAGTCAGGACTTCCTTGAAGCTTGAAATCTCCAGACATTCTAAAATTACTAGGTACACCTGATGCAAAATTGGAAGACCCACGAGTTCCAAAATTCTGGTTTCCACCAGGTTTCATGAACAGAGAATCACCCGTAATTTTTTTAAAGCTTTCACTCAGTGAACCAACGGTACTACTTTTGTCAGAATCAAGGTAACTTGGTTTAAATACATCCATCGCTGCTCTTCTTTTTTCCATGAGCTTCTTAAGTTCTGGGGCAAATTTGTCCGATGACTCAAATTGAGTATTTCTATTAAAATTTCTTGGAGTATTTGGGAAACTATCACGCCTATTATCTCCTACGTCTTTTTGATCAAAACGATCTATATTATTTCTATTAAATCTATCACCTCCAGGACTGCAAAGTTCATTATTTAAACCAAATCGATCATTAACAGGTTCGTTTCCTTGTCCAATTCTATCACCTCCTGGTCCAAACCTATCGTTTCCAACAACAAATCTGTTGTCTCCAGGTCCAAATCTGTCGTTCGTTGGACCGAAACGATTATTTCCTGGCCCAAACCGATCATTTCCAGAGGTAAATCTGTCGTTGAAGTTTATTTTCTGCTGATTGAACTGACTGTTTCCATGTTCTTGATAATTTCTGTCTTCCCTTCTAAACTGATCAGCTTCAGATACTCGTTCATCATTTAATTTATAATTTTCACTTCGTGGAACGAACATATCATTGCGAAACTGATTAATTTGCTGATCATTCATACTATCTGAACTAAAACGTTCTGGTGGCATACCTTCCTTTTGACGAACAGAATCATTCACACCAAAGTTACTCTGATGACTTACCGAGTCGAAATTATTCATAGAACCAAGTTGACCTTGACGTTCGTTATGCATCAGATTGTTATCCGGACCGTTACTAGGGTTCATACCGAATGGAGGTGGTCTTCCTTGCATGTTAGGTGGAACTGATGGTCGTATATTGCTACTCTGTCGCGAATCGTTGCTAATAAATCCTGGTGGTGGCTGTGAGAAGTTCGGTACAGCTGGAAAATTCGGCGGTGGTTGTGTAAAGTTTGGCGGAGGCATTTGAGTTGGTGGCATATTGAATGGAGGAGGAGGTACTCCTGTCATAGTTTGAAAGTTAGGGAAATTCGATACATTCACTCCTGCGTTGTATTGTGATGTCCATTGCTGAGAATTCCAAGGTGATGAAGTCATCATATTAGAAGACATCATGTTCATGACTGGTAGCTGGCCTGTCGATGACTGGGAGACTTGAGAAGAGGTTGCAGTTTGAACATTAGACGTTATTGTTTCTGTTGCTGGTGGCGGCGGTGGCGGTGGAGGTACATTGGTATTTTGTTTCCCAGTTAAGCCAAGAGTTTTCCCAATACCCAATAAATTATTAATTAATCTTTGATTTTCCGTACTGGACAGAATATTCAATATCTTATCATCGCCTGGTAAGCTTTTGTTCTTCTCGACGTCTACCTTAGCAGCTTGCTTTTGTTGTTCGCGTTTTCTACGCATTTGTTCTCGTCGTTCGATAAGCTTCTCTCGCCATGATGTCCATTTCGCTTCATACTGTTTGTACTGAGTCTACAATAAAATAATCTCTTTTGATCAGTTTATATCTAGCAATAATTCATTTACTAATATTTCAACCATCACCGTCTATAGCTCATGTGCAATAGTAACTGTAATATCACTTACCTTGTCTGGATGATTAGCATTTTGCTGTTTCCACTTATTAAACTGTTCTTCCCACTGTTTAAACTGAGCATCAAATGTTTTCTCAGCTTCAGTTAGTTCTTCATCTTCGACTTTCAACTTTTTAGCACTATTAGATTCACTACCAGTATTACTACTGCGTTTACCATTTAAATTATTATTTTCTTTACTATTATTATTTTCGGGAGGTAATGGTGGCTGATTTGGAGGCAGAGGAGGATTTTGAGGACAATTTTGTATATTTGTTTGTTGAGTTGGAGTACTCGCATTCTGTTTAGCAGGAAATAATGGAAGATTGTTTTGATGTGGGGGAGGCATGCTTGTAAATTGATATGTGTTCATAGCAGTTGGAGGTAATGGCGGTTTTGTGTCCTCTTTTGGAAGAGGTGGTGGAGGTTGTACAATTGGTAATTGTGGCACCTGATTATTTAAGCTCATGTTCTGGGCAGACATGTGTTTCATTGTTTCTTGATACTGAAACAAAGTTAAATTAATAACTGAATTATATATGATTTTATGTTATTTATGTCTTTTATATACCTTCTCTCCATACTGCGCTTGCCATTGTTGATATTGTTGCTGCCATTGCTGCCACTGAGCCCAGTTTTGTTGTTGAGCTGCAGCCCATTGTTCAGCTGTATATCCACTAGGTGCCTAATAAAACATAATTGTGATCTGTTACATATGTAATATAAATATATAGATATTTATGTATTACATAAGTAAATTAGTACATTCATTATTTATGAGAGATTCACTTTTTACAATAGAGAATGAGAATGTACAATAATTTTAATCAACATATACTTTCAAGAAAAATGTTATATATATTAATTAATATTTAATAATATTTAATAAATAATATTTAATAAATAATAAACAGATTTTTTTTCATGTATTAAATAGAGATGTTTAATAAAATACTTACTGGTTGATTATAATATTGCATGTAAGCTTGCATCATAGCCATAGGATCTGCTCCTGGAGTAGCATAACCAACTGGTGGTTGCGGCATTGGAGTAGCAACAGCACCAGCTGACAATTGCCATTGATTCCAATTTTGCATTTTTACACCCTCTCTCACTCTAGCAAATGGTTTGCTAGTGCATTCCAAACAGTTTTAAGGGCCGCAGTCCATTTGGACGCTATTTTATATTCAAAGAAAATTGTTATAGAGTTGCCACCACAAACGTGTATAAAACATAATAAAAATCTCTATTCAGTTTCCTTTTATGATATAATCACTAATCATATATAAGTAAAAAAATGCTTCAAAAATTATTAATTATAATATTGATAAAAATTATACATACATCAGTTTAAAAATATCTGCAAATTTTAATCAATATTAAGACTGTTATATAAAAATTAAAACTATATACATATATATAATATATATAAAAATATAAAATGTATTTTAACTATGTGAATTATAAATCACCTAAAATTTTCCTTACTACTCATTACAATAATAAAATGTGCAGAAACTTATTTTTTAAATTTTAATAATTTTTATTTTTATTCAATAATAGCTAAAATATAGATTGTAAAAGAAACAAATTTTCATAAAATAATTGTAAAGAAAAATGCATATTATCAAACACTTATAAATGAATAATGTAAAACAAAATATGTTCAGTATAAATAATGAACATACATTCAATAGTTTGCACAAATATATTAATACAAAAATATAAGTTAAATATTCTGGCTATTAATCCACTGCACTTAGCAAATCTTTATAGTATGATTATCATATCCTACTAAAAGTTACTAAATGCAAAAGATTAAAAATTTTGTAGATATAAGATACATCACAATGAATTCCATGATGTTGACACAATTATTTGCTTACATACTGACATGTTCATAGCATATTTTTTCAATGTACATTTAGATACATAGGAAATATTTCACAAAAAGATTAAAACTCATAACATATCTATAAGCAATAGATATGAATATATGAAAATTAATAAATATTTGATAATGCAAATGCATCACATTAATACACAAAAAAATGTAAAAGCAAGAGGCAGATAATAAATGTTCTATAAAATCAAAACCAGATCCTTTGAAAAATTTATTGTTTCATTAAAACTAAATATGTATAAATAATTCCATATTTAGCTAACATTTATACTTCTATCAAGTACAAATAAAATTTTAAGAGCTGAAATTAAATAAAATAATCATAGATTAACCTAAAATTATATCACATTTTTCAATAAATATATGGTGCTCCTAAGGCTTGATATGGTATAGTTATTTAAAGGACAAAGAAATAGATTTGGAATAAAATTAATTAGGATTATTACATTGAATACCATCGGAAATACATAGAAAATATGCTTTAAATATGTGTAATTAGAGAGATAGTATTAATGTATACAAAAACATTACACCCAGCAAAATATGTATAGGATATAAAACAGATGTACGTTTTGAACATACATCAAAATTTTAATTATTGGAAATAACCTAGAGCCACTAACATACTACAATATCTATTATATTTCATAAAATGAAATACATCTAAAGTGATTGGAAATATACCTTATTACATAATGTATAAATAGTACACAAAAGTGTTTTGCTATATAACTTGTATGTAAAAAAAGGAGAGTACCCAATACATTGAATTTATGAAGAACTTGATTGGATCAAGTAAAATGCATTAATCTATTTGAAATGCAACACAATCACAAAGAAAAAATACAGATTAAATAATTTATCCTTAAATATGTTATCGGTGCTGACAGAAACTTCAAAGCATCTTTATTAAATACAGAAGCTTGTGAATTTCAGAAACATGTTCTGACAAGCATCTAAATGTAATCGCTATGGTGAACAAGGACGTATCAATTTCGATTTATAATTTGAAATACATTTTTAAAATTACGTTTTGATAATATAACAAGTACAATAAATGTGTTTTTATTATAATTATATGAAAAATGCACGTCTATTAAATACATTAATCGCATTATTCTGAACAACATATTCGGGAATATTCAACATTTTTGCAAGAATGTAAGACGAAAATAAAAATGTGAATGTAAACATTTGACATAGAAAAATGGTACTCACGACTCACGACTCAGGAAGTAGCAACACTTTTGACGTAAAATTCACGAAAACCTTTCTTTACTGCACAACAACTAAAACGAAACTTGGCACGAAAACGTCGAAACTGATCGGAACTTATGGCGGCTGAAGACGATGAAGCAACTAATTTCAGATACTAAACGACAAAAAAAATTCCCTAGATGTTGTATAATTGTCCTATCTTGCGCGGTTTATATAAAATGCTGTAGAAACATATTTCAATTCAATCTTTTTACATATTCTTTCCACGCAAAATAATGAAACATAATATCTATCATAAGATATAATAACAAGAATATTAATGGTATTTGCGTTTACTTATATCTTCGCTTATTTCATTGGTGATATTTCAAAGATTAAAATTTGAAGTTGATTAATTTAAAAAGAAAGCTAATAAAATGAAAAAATAAAATTTATGACAAAATGAAATTAATAACATTATTTTTATCAAATATACTATATCCTTCCCTTTTCTTTCACAAAATGGATTATTATTATAAAACAGTAAACTTACAAATTTAATAAAAATAAATAATTAATAAAGATATTCTTGCAAGTAGACAAATATTTTGTTTTTATAAAATTATATCAATAATCATTTGTTGCTAATAATTAAATGTAATAAATAATTAATTATAAAAATTAATACTAGTGTTAATATTGTAATGGTGGAACACTTTAAAGAAACACATTAAAGAAATTTTCCTGTTATAAAATTGTTACAAAACCTAGAAATACAGCGCATACAAATATTTTACGGAATTAACTTTTATTGTATTTTTAAATAATTCTTTTGCAAATATTACTCAAAGCAACGATTGATAACAAGAATTATTATATAATTGACCTTTCAAATAATTATCAACGAACGGATTTCCCCATTTGATGGTTTTTACATTGTTCAATCAGCTTGATAGTATTTTCTGATGTCAGAGTATCATCAAAGAGTGGAGATGGATATATTTATAGATAAATATATTTACGCAGAAACCTGTTCTTAAATTGCCGCAGCAGCATTCCGCTCTTTAGTATCGCCTCGGCAACATCATCAAACGTGCATATCATGAGCGTTCCCGGAATCAAATGTTCCCTTGTTACCCTTATTTTATTATGTAATATAGTAATTCAAAAAATTTTAGCACAATATGAACCTCCAACGCCGACTGTGGAACCTCTGCATCCGAAAGGATTACGAATGTCTATTCCAGGTGAGTAGAATTCCTTGTTTTTGGCATATATTTATTCGCTTGGTACCAGTGTCATTGCGTCGCTTTAGTCTTCTGTAGGTCCCTAAAATTCAAACGAAAATAGTTCGCAATTTAATTTTTTTGTTCAAATGAAATAATTGACGGAAAGAGTAGTAATTGTTGAAAATGTAATTTTATAATTTAATGAATAGAGTGTGCTTTAGTAAGATAGTCCTTCTTTCAAAAAAAAAGTACAAAAATTATGTGTGAAAGAACTTCTATCAGGTATAACCATTATTTGTGTTTAATGTGAAAATTGTAATACAATAATGTATAAAGAGTCTAATTTTAATTTTGAATGCTGAAAATATAGAACAAACTTAATTTATATTAAAAAATTAATATTGGAAAGAACTATGTTGAATAAAAAACACTGATTACAAATATTTACAAAAAATATATTAATTTTGTAGAATCCAGAAGAAGAAATGAATCATATGTATTTAAAAACATATTTTTATAATTCCAATGAGATTTCGATAGTTCAATGCAGGATTCCAGTATTCGCGTTTATACATTACATACACACGCGCAAGTTTCATTTTCCTCATATAATATTGTGAATATCTAAAAATATTTATTGCTCACTGAATAAATGTTATTAATGACTATATCACTCTAATACCAACAGTTACTCTTTTAAAACACAGTCTACAGTTCGTTTATTTTCATTCAATTTTATTCATACATGAATCTATATTCATTTAGTTTTAAAAATTCAATGAAAATGAAAATCAATCAATATACGAACAAAACACTAATTGGTGATAATACACGAATTGTAATTTAAATGTAACAAGATAGTATTAGCTTTAAAAAACAATGATAATTTTTAGCCAAGCAATTTTTTTCATTTAGATGAAGATGGCATCAGTTTAGTCGCATATCATGTGAAATTTAACGAAGATTTCTACGGCCTTGAAGCAGGAACTATTGCCAGGGATATTATAAAGAAAAAGAATGGTCGTTGGACATACGAAGATAGAACCACAAGACTAAAACGTGGAGACAAACTTTATTATTGGATCCACGTCGTTTACGATGGTCTCGGTTATAATTTAGTTGACCAACAATATGATGTCAATGGTTTGTTGAAAATGAGAGAAATGATTTTTTATATCGACTTTTCATAGAATCTTGGCCATTGATCTTTTGTCTTTTAGACTTTTATAATTATGACGGAACAATAATAAATGGAGGTAACATTCCCTGTGCGACACCTGCACAGACTCAGATCTTTAAAACAACGGAAGAACAAACTATCTGTCGGGGTCAAATGATTTTCGAAGAAACTTTCGATTTTCTTAACACGAATCGTTGGACCGTTCAGCAACGTTTTGCCAGCGCACCGGCAAGTATTAATTTATGGACAGACATAAACTAGAATTCTTAAAACCACCGTATCCTGTGCTACAAGAATAATAAAAAAAACTGCATGCAATATAATGTATGTCCAAGTACAATAAAAATTAAAACGCGTCAGTATACGGGAGAAAAAATTCAATAATAAAATAACAAATCCGATATAAATAAAAAGATATTGTTACAGTCAAGTAGCAATAAAATCGATATAAAATCAGTAAAACATTAATTCGATTATGCTTTATCTTAGGATTACGAATTTGTCGTGTATATGAACAACAACGATAACGTGGAAGTCAAAGATGGTAGTTTACATATTAGACCAACTTTTACCAACGACAAGTATGGAGACAATTACATTAAGAATGGAAATCTGACTTTGGAAAGGTAAAATTCTAATTATCATAAAATCGATCATAACAAAATACCAATAGATATCGTTAAAGATGATGCTGAATGTCTCTTCAGATGCACAGCCGAAAATACTCTTGATTGTAAACGACATGGATCTGGATGGAATATTTTACCACCTATAATATCAGGACGATTGAATACTAAGTCATCCTTCACTTTCCAGTACGGGCACATTCAAATTCGAGCTAAATTCCCTCGCGGCGATTGGTTATATCCTTGTGAGTTTTATCGAAATTTTGTAGTTTTTCATACATTCACAATGTCTTCTTAAATATTAAATAAATTGATAAGTAATAGAGCTTTTTGTATTCAAATCCGAGTAACTTCTGTTATGCGAACACCTATATTTTGGAATATGAATATATATGTACATATTGGAAAAAATATTCACTAAAATACAAATTTCAAATCCTAAAAATCATTATTTCAGTAATCACTTTAGAAAGCACAACTGAATATAAGGAAACTTCGGTGCTCTATTTTGACATCATAGTGGCCCAATCGAACGGAAATCCATTCCTCAAGTTACGGGACGGAAGCGATATGAGTGGACATGTCCTACTAGGAGGTGCTCATGCGACAAAGATAAAACTTCCTATAGAGGATAATCGATTAAATCTTCCAAAGAAAATAGCGACAGATTTATGGTCAGATAATTACCACGTGTATGATTTAAAATGGGAAAAAGGTAAAATAACAATCATGGTTGACGGAGAACAGTATGGCGAACAAACAGTTCCAACATTGCATGATACTCCGGTAAGTAGGAATTCTGATTATGAATTACAAATACTATTTTAAAATATTTGTCTATCTCTATCTCATCACTTTCCCTCATTTCTCATTTTCTTATGATATTATTAACAATCAGAGATTACAAAAAATAAGAATAATAACGAAAGCAACCTTCTGAAGCAACGATTTCCACTACCGTAAATGAAGTAACATGTTAATAAAAATATCATGTAATATATGTTTTGAATTTATCTCGATGTTCTCTACAATACGGTGGAAAAAAAATTATATGTTCCTATTTGTTTAATTCAAAGTGATCTTGATTTAGCTATGAAAACAAACAGTTCCCGAAATTTTTTATATTGACACCTATAGTACACCTTGTATCGTTCAACTTTTGTTCTAAACTTTTTTTTGTCAGATGGCTGTAAATGGGTGAAAAATCGTGCGTCACATTACAGATAACACCCTGTATATGTCTGTCCTTGTCGCATGTTGTTGCTCTCCTTGTCTACCGCGACTATATGTCTGTCCTTGTCGCACTCTGCTGCTCTCCTTGTCTACCGCGACTATACGGTTGTCCTTGTCGCACGCTGTTGCTCTCCTTGTCTACCGCGACTATATGTCTGTCCTTGTCGCACTCTGCTGCTCTCCTTGTCTACCGCGACTATACGGTTGTCCTTGTCGCACGCTGTTGCTCTCCTTGTCTACCGCGACTATATGTCTGTCCTTGTCTCACGCTGTTGCTCTCCTTGTCTACCGCGGCTATATGTCTGTCCTTGTCGCATGCTAGTGCTCTCCTTGTCTAATGGCGCTAGACAAGGAAAGCAACAGTGTGCGAGAAGGACAACCTTCGATCTATTGAAAAAAAAAAATTCAACTTTTTACACACATGCTTTTCCAGGACAAAACATACATTAAATGAAAGCGGGGAGCCTAATTTTAAGGATGCATACAAAAAAGTTCGCAAATTATTTCTCATAATTAATTTCGTCTCGTAATTTGTAGATAAACTATCACCTGTCAATGTTTAGACGCAGCGGTGGCGCCATCTATTGATAACTCGGTGGTACTAAAAAGCAGAATTTTCTACTTTTAGTACTACTGAGTTGTCAATAGATGGCGCCACCTCTGCGTCTAAACATTGAAAGAAGACGGTTTATCCACAAATTACGAAACGAAATTAATTAAGAGGAATCATTTGTAAACTGTTATGGTTGCATCTTCAATTTTAGAGACCCTTAGCTTGCGTTCTATGTTTAAGTATAGTTTACGTATATAAAAAATGTTTCAATTTCGTTTGCGTTAGCAGTAGTGCCAGTAGTGTGCGCGTAATTTCTCGAAATCTATAGTGAATATTTGATTCAGATTTATTGCGAACGTAATTGATAGCATTATCTTTGAAATATATGCTCGTGGAATGCAAATTTCTGGCGTGAAGAATTAAAATTAATTATTCTCCTTATATGGTTATAGAGCGTTTAGTTCCACCGGTCTGCCACAACGCTAGTATTTGTTACCCCGTAAAACGGAGAAATTTTCATTTGCGAAAAAACCTAATTTAGCGAAATGAATTGTGAACTTTTGTGATTATATTACCCTAATTAGACCTTTAGTTTTCTTTTCATACCTCATTTGACCCGTAAAATGAAATAAGTATTTTTATAAATAATTAGTATCACTGCGTCACCGCTAGATGGCGCCACCATATCCATTTTGTGACAATTCGCACTAATTACGAAAAAAACCCAATTAAGAGGAATAATTTGCGAACTTTTTTATATGCCTCCTTAAAATTAGGCTCCCCGCTTTCATTCTATGTGTGTTTTGTCCTGGAAACGCGTGTGTGTAAAAAGTTGAATTTTTTTTTCAATAGATCGAAGGTTGTCTTTCTCGCACACTGTTGCTTTCCTTGTCTAGCGCCATTAGACAAGGAGAACACTAGCATGCGACAAGGACAGACATATAGCCGCGGTAGACAAGGAGAGCAACAGCGTGAGACAAGGACAGACATATAGCCGCGGTAGACAAGGAGAGCAACAGCGTGAGACAAGGACAGACATATAGTCGCGGTAGACAANGGAGAGCAACAGCGTGCGACAAGGACAGACATATACAGGGTGTTATCTGTAATGTGACGCACGATTTTTCACCCATTTACAGCCATCTGACAAAAAAAAGTTTAGAACAAAAGTTGAACGATACAAAGTGTACTATAGGTGTCAATATAAAAAATTTCGGGAACTGTTTGTTTTCATAGCTAAATCAAGATCACTTTGAATTAAACAAATAGGAACATATAATTTCTTTTCCACCGTATTGTAGAGAACATCGAAACGAATTCAAAACATACATTACATGATATTTTTATTAACATGTTACTTCATTTACTCCATTGTAAAGTAAATGGAGTAACATGTTAATTAAAATATCATGTAATATATGTTTTGAATATATATATATATATATATATATATATATATATATGTATTAGATAATTAAAGCCTATTGTTCATATTTTCACAGGTTTATATAAATATCGGACTAGTTGTAGGAGGTCGCACTACTTTCCCAGATGGTTCAGTTAGTGATAAATACTCAAAACCCTGGGGAAACGTCGAAGCAAAGGTACAATCTGACTTTTTATCACAAAAGCAAATTGTCTAGTAGAAACAGAATATTTGAAACGCAATATCATTGATTACAGGCACTCTACCATTTTCATTCAGCAGCAGATAGCTGGCAGCCAACTTGGACAAACAGTGATACTGGTCTTCACGTAGACTACATTAAAGTCTGGGCTGTTTAATTCTATTTTTTTACTTCAATATATACATTTAATTACTCTTAAACACGATACACTTTTCTCTGTTCTTCAAAATAAAATCAAGCAATTCAATCAGTTATTATCTCAGACAGCGGACAAGATCATCTTCCAGTCTGAATTCAAAAACAATAAAAATAAATTTTTGTTTGTAAAATGACGGATATTTTGTTCCTTATGTAACTACCATAAAAAAGAAATAAAAACATTAATGATAGCAACAATCATTCACTACAAGATATTAGTAACATCAATATTGCAATTGTAAAATGTTTTATCTAAAAGAAATTCCATCACTCTGGGAAAACCTGCATAGTATCGCACTTTATACTCATTTGTCTCATAAGACATTGAAACTTACTTTATACTCACTTAGGATTGCTTATTCACGACAACATTCCAAATAACAACAGATAACAATTATTACATAATTGTTTTGAAATCTTTTACAAACATATACTTCAAATAGCGATTGAAGATCGGAACTATCGCACAAAAAAAAAATGGATTAAGAAATGAGATCTATGCGATCATTTATCCGCAAATATTGGCACTCAACTAAATTTTGGATGTCTCTTTATTATAGAGAGACTTGTATAAAGTGATAGTCTCATATGTCACAATCATGCGTATTAAATAATTAAAGAATATTGAATTTTAAAATTGTTTTCTTAAGAAATAAAAGTATCACATTTTTTCTCTCTGATCTTCAATTCTAAATAGTTTACTTAACATTTTCCAGATTTATATAAACATCAATTTAATTGTAGGAGATCCCTTTTTAGACTACAGTTATATTTACACATGTAAAGAACCCTCGAACGTCGAAACTATTTAAATAATTAAAGTTTCAAAACGAAACCAAGTATATTCGTATAAACGAAAGTCAGTATATTCGAAATACAATGTCATTGCAAGCACTCTACCAACTTCTATTCCGCAACTCTCTACTAGCAAAAGTCGTATAAACACAGTGATACCAAGTTTCACATAGACTTAGACATTAGAAACTGAGCTACTTAATTTTTATTTTTCACTTCAACTCGAAAACACATTCCATCATATTTTAAAATCCTTTTCTGTTCTTTTTCTGTTCTCTACCACTTCCATACTCTTCGATCACACAAGTTCGTATGAGTTGATATAATACACGATAATCAAAGAAGAGGTGGTGGTACCAATATGGAAGCAGGCACAGGTTGTTGATAAGGCACGTTATCCAGATGAAAACCAGAACCAAGCAATTCAATCAACCGCTCTCCCCGGTAACCGTAACGTCTCTGATAATCAAATGAAGCACGAGGTCCATCTTCCGGCCTGAATTCGAATACCATTTTCTTCCTAGTATCCGGAGAAGCTACCAGTCTCAGAAAAGCATCCACGCTATTCCTCGGCCATTCCCAAAATCTTCCACCAGACCATAACGATCGAAATATCGCCGACCATCTCGAGGGATCAAGCGGAAGTGTCCTGGCGACTCGAGTTGAAACAGTTCCATCGCACACGACCCCTATGCTCAACTATACAAGTATATGCAATAAAAGAATCAAGTGACAATTTCCTAAAAAGCTGTCAGTCACTAACTTACCACACAGATTAACGTTAGTGCGTAGTTTTTGCTCATCTTTTCTTTTTTTATCGAACCTTCAAGTAGGAAGACAGGGAGAGCAATATCCCGTTGTTCATGATTTCTACTTACCTTTATGCCTTTCGAGTGGGTGAAGATTTCGTGTATAGAATACATTACGAATTTTTCGTGACAGAATTGTCAATCGTCAAACGAAACGCAACGTGACTTTTCAAACGGTTCGCGCCTCGACTTTTCTTACTTTCACTGATCGCATTGCAACATATCTCCACGACATATCAGCTGATTTCTTTTTCACAATGTCCTTCAGAGCAGAGTTAGTTGTCATTCCGCGCTTGTCCCGGCATCATCAACTACGCTACCGACAACGTGATCCTTCATGACTACCTCGAAGAGGAACAACATGGATTTCTCTCGTAGTTTGGTAGTTACAATTAGCATTACTCGTAGTTCACTTTGACTTGCTTCTAGTTTTTCGTGGTTTCTTCATAAATTTGAAGCATTTATTAGCTAGGATGCATTTGTTAACTAGGATGGAGTGAAGATATGATACTTATTAGGGATAGATACTTATTAGGGAAGAGATGAAAGAAATTATTAATATTATTTATACATATGTTTAAACATCATGTCACTTTCACTTGAGAAAAGGAATAAACAACATTTGTGCATGACATGTTTGAAACTGATTGAATAGTGTAATTAATACGAATGAGTTCACGAACAGATTAATTTTGTTCTGAAGATGACACATTTGTATAAATAAGTTAAATTTTATATCGTCATCCATTGTTAATCTTCTCTCTTATTTTTAACATCAAGATACTTCAATATCAATAAAAAAAAAATGTAGAAAAATAATAACGTAAAATAAAAACTGTGAACATTTATATCTATACACAAGTTTAGAATAATAACAGAACAACAGAATAATCATGCAAGAATACGCGTTTACTATACACTATGCTATGTACATATAGGAATGAAATTATATATTCCATTAAATTATAAATTTCATCAATAAATTTCTGTATATTTTAGGTAACTTTGATTTTTCTTATCTTGCTGTTTAGTGCTGATAGAAATGTATCAGTCGCCCAAGGTATCAGCATTTTCTCATTTATTCATGATCTAATTCAGTATAACGTAGCGGGGATACCGCTCATTCATGAGGCAAGTATGACGTTCTGTAAAACAGAAAATCAACATTAAAAATAAATATTTTTAAAACAGCTAAATAAGAGCGATAAGATTACTTGCGTTAGGTGAATAATCGCGTGATAATTTTTGCGCAGCAAACGCAGTGGGATTTTAATCCAGAAGATGGGAAACGAAGAAGAATCAGGTACGAAAAGGAAAATGGTCGTCATGGAGAAATCGCAATTGAGAAGATCGGCATGGGAATCGGAAATAAGGAACCGTTAAGAAGAATTGCGTAGATTCGCTAATCTGTAAAAGAAATACGTCAAAAATCAATGAAAAATAATTGTAGCATAAGTAGAACTGTATCGTACGTAATATATTTCAGTGAAAAGAAGAAATTTCTTCCTTCAAAGTGTTTGACTTGGTCGAGTAATATTTTATTTTGTATTTAATACTTATATCTAAATATATCGTATTTTTCATCAATATAATTCTTTCTCGTCATTCTCCAATTCTGAAAAAGTAAGTCGAAATCATTTTTTCCTCAGAAAATATCGTCAACTATCAATTATCAGTTGCGTAATCGACTTTCAATAAATTCCAAAGTACGGATAAAAAGATTCTATTTTCTATCTTTGATTCATCATTCATCGCAACTCTAAGCAGGTACACGCAAGCATGTGAAATATGCCCCGTACGACTTTCACTTAATACGCAGAAAGAACGAAGTGGGGACAGTGCGAAGAACGGTAACGGATTTCAAAATAAGGCAAGCAAAACGTGGAATCGGAGAGACGGGAACAGATCGATTGTAAGAGCCATAGCATCGTTTTTCGCTTTAAAAAGTCTATATTATATTCCTTCCAATGAAGAAAGACACATTGGAATAAAAACACTCGCATATCCAGTGTTACACTTTGTGACGAACTTTCTTCTTATTTTACGCATATTGAACGTATTACCTTGTAATCGCCAAGATGACAAGACACGCTTCCGTAAGTAAATGAATGCGAAAATAAAAATTCAAAATAAAAATAAGAATAAATGTACGAATTGAAAATAATGTACAAAGAAACATAAATAAAGTTATGCGCGTGTAATCATTGTACACTGAAAAGGATTTGAGGATAGCACGATATCTCGATCAATTCATCAAAATAAGTAGGTCTCAAAGTATTTTTTGACCTGCTTATGGTGCACGTACATAAAACGATTTTTTGTTTTCTTTTTCATACTATTTATTATGAAATATTTAATAAATCTAAGATACATACGCTGAATCTAGGAGACTTTTTTGTATATTTTCGTTTCGACGCACTAATACTAACTGTCCTACTTTCAGTGGACGACCATAATCTTTGCGACAATAATCGTCACTTGTCTACTTGGATTAATCGTCGAAACTGCGGCCACGATAGCTCAACCAAAGGCACCTAATTTTCAATACTTTGAACGGTAAGGAATTGAAAAACAAACATAATAAACTTAGGTTTAGAATATATCGAAAAGGGAACGAATGACGCAACCATTTGCTACACAGTGGTAAAAAGGATTACAATATCCTCATGCTAAAATACAATTGGTAATAACAAGTATATACTATCAAGAAAATAATCGTTTAAAGGCATCGGATACATATATACCAATTTTTTGTTTAAAAATAAATGCAATTACAAGATTTTACTAATCATTACCTGATTATTTATAGGCCTAAATACCGCTATCCATACTACGATGAAAATGGCAGAGGAAAACTACTCTATGGCTATGGAGGACCAGATCTATATCAATATAAAACTTACAGTGCCCTCGAAGGAATTCATTAAAATAAAGAGCACTAAGTTACACTATAAAAATAATTGATAATCATTCAATGAATTATGGTTATTATACGTAGGGTGATCGTTTGTGAAATGATCAGAGTACATACACGATTCTGCTTCCGATTACAAGAAAATGATTATATTTTATGTTATATTGTCATAATAATAACATAATACAACATTCGACACTTTGTATTATACTTACATCTTTTCTTGTTGTCAGAAACATATCGAGTTACGAAAATTAAGGAACATTACAAGATCATTTATTCTTCCAATTATAACCAATTATATTTTTAAATGCAATCGATCGATATGCTTAATTACGTTATAAACACATGTTTCTTCGTCACGAGTTATGATTTTTATTATTCGGTAACACGGTCTATTTCTCGAAATAGTTAACGAAATAAAAATGAGTGAATCTATTTGTCTTTAAAAGACAAATTATTTCGTTAGTCAGATGAATGAAAACTGTGTTAAATATTAGAATATTATGATTAATCGATGTAGAAATTGCTACAAATACAATTGCGAACAGTATCATTAAAATCGATCGTCTACGAAAAATTTGTGGAATGTGCATAGCATTTCTAGAATCTATGACGTGTCCGATATAATCACTGTGAAGACGAGAAGTGAAACGGCTAAATTCTAATGCCTAGAAATCGGATATCGTACATCAGAAAGTCAGAAAAATTTGTAAAAACGCAGTCATTTAAAATCTTTAGTTAAATGCGCTTAGTTAGACGCAAAAATTGTTTGTTTCGTGACAAGTGCACATACAAGTTTACAAATGTGCAAGCAGAGTTGAGTATAGCGAGATAATGTTGATAAACGAATGACTACTACCCGTACGATGTGTATTGGGTATTTTATTCCAAATGATCCTTGTCCGCCTTATCTTCGGCAGACTGTAACTGTCATACAAAATCCATTTCGGACTTAGTGTAATGTCGTGTACCTGATCGTAATCTGTACAGCTGCCTCTCTATTAATTTCTTTATCTCGCTAATTATGAAAACGCTTGATGTGATTCCGACGAGAACCAAGATATCTGTTAAAACAGGAACAAATATATCCTTATTTAAAAATATTAAAAGTAAAAATGAAACATTGTGAAAGCATCGTTCAAACTACGCACCTACTGCTGAAAGAGCTTCAGTTTGGAAAACTCGTTGTAATGGCGGAAAGTAGATCACCAACATCTGTCCTATTACTGATAATGTTACGGCTACCAGGAACATTTTATTACTCAAAAAACCAATAGTAAATATTGATTTGGTCTGAAATATTTATGTTTAATTTGTAGAAAATATATACTGTAATACTTTATACGATTTTATTATTATTCTTACCTGCGATCTACAACTTAAGGCATTAAACATATCAAAGAAAACGAAACATGTAAATGTCATGGTTGTATCCCTTGCAGTATTACCGTCAGTAGTCATCTAATAAAAACAAAACACGACAGCAATTATGTAAAGTGAATAATTTTTATAATAAACTTTTCGTACCTCTTTATTGTAAACCCATAAAGTGCCAATAATAATGATAGTAGCTGACAATAGTACGTTAATGATAAGATGTCGCGTAATCATTGGTTCTTTTGTGTTCCGCGGTTTTTGTTTTAAAACATCCTTATCAACTGGTTCGACACCAAGACTGAAACCAATAATTAAATATATAAATATCATAGTATAATCCAATCGTTCAATTTGTACATTACCTTTGAGCAGGTGGACCATCCATAATAATATTAATCCAAAGAATTTGCATCGCATTTAAAGGATTTGGTATACCCATCAAAGTAGCAAGTGCAATTAGAGATAGAGCGGCTATACTAGTACTTAATTGAAATCTTACAAAATTTCGTATATTATGAAAAATTCCTTTCCCTTCCTCAATTGCAGCACTAAAAGATATATATAATTAAAGAATAATGAATATAAAAATGCTGAATATTGTTAAAGAAGAAACTAATATGTACATGATAGTTTCAAAATCGTCATCCACTAAAATCATGTCTGCAGCTTCTTTACAAACATCAGTACCATTTTTACCCATGGCTATACCTATATCTGCCTTTTTCAAAGCAACTCCATCATTCACACCATCACCCGTCATGCCTACTATGTTTCCTTCTCTTTGCAAGGCTTTTATGATACATAATTTGTGCTTAGGCGTGACCCGATAAAATACACTAACGTTATTAATACATTGCTCTAACTGGTGTTCGGACATTAAATCAATTTCATCTCCAGAAATTAACCGTGAATGAAGTACATCTAATCCAATCATACTTGCTAAAATAAAAAGGAAATTATAATGCACTATTTTTGCAGACTACATTCACAAATTAGAAAAAATTTAATGAATCCATGTCGTACCTATTGCAGATGCAGTTTCTTTAGCATCGCCTGTAACCATTTTAACTTTAACACCGCTATTTATAAGAGTCGTTATAGATTCACGAACATGTGGTCGTGGAGGATCACATATACCAACAAGACCAACATACATTAAATCTTGCAATGACGTACCACGTGCCAATCCAATTACTGTAAATATATTTAAAAATATTAAGAAATAAAGTTAAAGTTATTATTGAGGTTTGTTAAAACATACCTCTTAATCCTTGTTGCCCAATATCATAAGCTTCTGTTAAAAATTCTTCATCTTTCTTTTGATTTAGAGAATAAACTTGACCATTGACAGAGTATTTGGTACATAATGGTAAAATCTTATCCAGAGCACCTTTTACAAAATATATTTCTTGCTTATTCTCTCCGTATTTCGGAGTACACTTTACAGCCATCATTTTTTGTTCAGATGAAAATGGATATTCTTGTAATCGTAGATACCTATCAGCAACTCCATACATCCCATATTTCATTGCCACCGCTATTAACGCACCTTCTGTTGGTTGACCAAGCAAAGTATCATTCTGTATAATTGCATTATTACAAGCACATCCTACTTCCAACATATTGCTGATAGCGGTGCGTGCAAGGTCCATGTTATCACATTTTCGAATTCGTACTTCTCCTTTATCATTATAACCAGCTCCGGTAATATCAGCTATATATCCTTCCGATGTCACCAAAATCGTTGCAGTCATTTCATTCTTTGTAATAGTACCAGTTTTATCAGAACATATCACATTTACACAACCTACGCATTTAACAATGTAATAGCTTTGATAAACATTATATAACCATAATACACGTATACTTACCCAGTGTTTCCACTGTTGGTAATTTCTTCACAATGGCTTTTCTTTTAGCCATCCTCATAACACCCAATGCTAAAGTTACAGTTACAACAATAGGTAAACCTTCTGGTATAGCTGCTACTGCTAAACTTACGCTGATGGTAAACATTTCAAGTATAGCTTTGCCTTGGATCCAGCCAAGAAGCATAATAATGCCAATAATGCAAAATGAATAAAAGGATAATTGAGTACCCAAAATATCCATACTTCTTTGAAGTGGTGTTTTTGGAGCTTCTTCAGCCTGCATCATTGAGAAAACTTCTCCAAATTCACTTTTTTCTCCTGTATTCACTACTATTCCCTATAGAATATTTCATATATATTTGATAAATAATTGCTAATTACGAACTCATTGAAATATCTTTGTTGTAATAGAGTACTTACTTTTCCATTGCCACAACGCACTAGCGTACCCATAAATGCAATATTTCTTTTTGTTGTCAATCCATTAGTTTTAAGCAATGGAGCTGTTGATTTTTGTGCTGGTTCAGTTTCTCCAGTAAAACTGCTCTCGTCAATTGCTAAATCTATTGCTTCAAATATTCTGATATCCGCAGGTACTCTATCACCAATATTTAAGTAAACTACATCGCCAGGAACTAAATTGCGAGCGAGAAACGTTTCTACACAACCTTCTCTTAAGCTGTAAAAAGATATCAAAACAATTATTTTAATATTAAAATTTTCTAATGTTAAAATGTTGTTGTATATTATAATATTAAATAGGTCTAACTTCCATCCTTCGCCTATAACTGTGCATCTTTAAAATTGGACATTCTAAATAAAGGGAAGGGAATTTCACCTTATTGATCTATTGATTGGAATTGGATATTATATCCTTTGTTTTAAGAAAGCAAAGTAATACTCCATACAAAGGGCTAATATATCCTCCAAAGACCATATTTCTAAAGGAAATGTTAATTCAAATGAATGTTACCAACAGTCTTTACTTTTATTATACTTAATATAATTCTAATATAATTTTTATTAAATAAATATTTAATAAATAATATAAATTTCCTTACCAGTGACAAGTTGGTGGCACCAGTTTGTTTAATTCTTCTAAGGATTTTTCAGAACGATATTCTTGTACAAATGCAACTGTTACTACTATTATGATAGCCTAGAAAGATATATATTTCACTAGTATAAATGTTGAATAAAATATAATTTAAAAATACTCAACTGACAATAATTATATTAAACTTACCACTGTAATACTGACTGCATCATCAAATTGCCTCATACATACACTAACGAAGGCAGAACCAAGAAGTAACAAAATTAAAGGATTTTTAAACTGCAAAAGAAAAGAATATACTCAACTTTATATTTCATTATTTGCATTAATTTTATAATTAAATAACATATAATAAATCTTTCAAGTACCTGTTCCAGATATTTCTTCCATGTTGGTTCTTCCTCCTTAACACTGAACTCATTAAATCCAACTAATTGTCTTCGATGATCTGCCTCTTGCCACCAAAGACCTGTTCTTATATCAACGTGTAATCTGGCTGCTACTTCTTCAGCACCAAGGCTAGCTGCTTCGGCTGTTGTTAACCACATTTTTGATGTTTGATCTTTACCCTTAACAAATGAAAATTAAATATTTTTTTTTTATTCTCCAAGTGGTTGCTCATTTGTGACATATTTTTCTAACCTTTATCACAATTTTATAACCTTTCGCTCATTTTAGAACAACAGATAATAAATTTAATATAATTAAATTCATTATTTTTTTAATAAAAATTTCAACCTTTTTGCTTTCAAGATATTTACTACTTTGATATACATATTCACAATATTAATGATACATTATTAAGAATTTTCCACACTTTACGATATACAAGTATTATAAAATGTTTTTATGCAAAAAATATAAACATTAATAACATATCGTTTATAATGATACAATAATTACAATTACTTTATTTGCACTTCAAAAATGTAAAGTAAATCATTAATTAATGTTAAACATCTATGACACGTGTATCCTACAATTTGTGTTATAGGACGTGTCAATCCAACGAAGAAATAAACGCACTATAATCAAAACTGCGAAAATTGAAAAATATTTGTACAGTAAGCATAAGAATTATTCATATTTAACGATGAATAATTTTTCAAAAATAGTTTTATCTTGCAGATTCATCGCAAATTCTAACCTTGAAAAATGCACAAATGCATTAATAAATATTATTGCTTCGTTTCAAATATAATCTAAGAATATTAATAAAAGAATGACTTTATCAAAATAGTTACAAATTTACTGAATACTATAAATGTCTACACTTATTATACATATATATTAATTTTACAAATGTTTCATGTATAAGTGTAATTATTATATCTATATAAGTACGATAATTACGATAATTTATTTTCAAATTAATATATATACCTAATTAATTTTACATGATCGTATTTGAAAGTACTGTATTATGCAGTTCACGCCTAAAATAACGTTCCAGTACTATCGACTATAGGAACTTCTGTGTTCGTGGATCACATGAAAGAAGCGATTATTTTTAATTAATTCTAGGAATTACAATGAAATATATTACTTATTACATTTACTTGTTGATCTTACAATTAGATATTGAGTTTGTCAAGTAAAAATAACAGAATTTCAACTCTTGCCTTTTAAATGAATATATTTCATGCAACATTAACTTTGAAATATCGTATAAATTGTAAATATTCGATTTTCTATTCTACCAATTATCGATCCGTTTTCCATAGAATGCGCAAGGCCACATTGTTACACTTATTACCTTGGGTCAACATGTTCAGAACATTTGCTGCCTACACTATCATTTGAAACTTCTGGAAATTTCATGCCTGGCATTAGAAAATTGCCACTTATTGTTAATAGATCTATTATACTCTAATAGTTAAGTAATCTATCTGTTAGGTAATTCACTCAAGCAAATGTAAATACCATCACATACAATACAATGAATTTTTTAAACACAAAAACCACCATGTTTTTAAAAAAACAAAGATATCAACAAGAAGATGAAAAACTTTACTTGTATATAAATAAAATCACAGGTAACAATAGAGACTCCAGCAGGTGCTGTTGGCAGGGTAAGTATTCGATCGATACCGAAACATTTGAAGATATGTACTACAATTGTAATGAACTTTTTATGCTACATATTTTAAATGTTTATTCATTTTATTCTAAACTTACAATTAATTTTAATTTTCTTTACGTTTCCTACGAAATATAATACGATATAAGAAGAATATAACTTAAGACTATTCTTTATAATAGAAATAAAAAAGAAATGACTAGACTAATCATTCTTCATTACAAAGTATCCTATGTACGTATAAACGTGAATATAATAAAAGGAAAAGAAATAAAAACTAAATAAATAAAAAATTGTATGAAGATATTTAAAAATACTACAAACTCTATAATGCAATATCGTAATTTAATATAAATCTTACCTCTTTCACCGGTACATTTTCATTACGTTCCTTTTCGGCTGTGGCGGCAGCATCAAGTTCATTATCTTCGAAAAGTTTTTCGTACTTCTTACTCGCTGTGTCTTTCATCTCTTCTAATTCACGTTTTACTTTTCTTCTCTTTTTTTTAATTGATCAATTGTCGATTATATGTATATGCCACGACAATTTTATTTATCACTTTTCAAAATGGGGGACAGAATTTTGCGATGTTTCTTCAATAAAATGCGTTATTATCCGTCAGTCCGGTTTTACAGTTTCAAAAAAAGGAAACACACAGTTCATGGTCCGAATGAATTCCTGTCAAAATGTGTTGGCATTGAATACATACCGACCACAATGTATAGTATATATACAGGGTGCGACCGAAAGCTAAATATGAGCAAATGATTCTTCATAAAAGAAATATATGAAGCGAAATTTTTTCGTTCAAACCTTAGTTTTTAAAATTATGTTTGAAAATTTATCAAGCATAGTTGAACTTAATTAATTTTAAACTAAACAGGAATGAATCATGACAAGAAGCTGTTCTACGTCAGAAGACAAGTTAAAAATATGGAATTTTTTCGCTTTGTTTTTGAGAAAATTAAATTTGAATATTTACCAAGTATGTACATGCGTAACAAACCAAGTACTAACTAAATATACTAACTTTACTTTCTTGAAACTGATGGTTTAAACGCAAAAATCTTATTCTACATTTTTTATTTTTTTTCGCATATACTGTTAGAATAATTAGAATATCCTACTGATTGCTCACTCGATTCACTCAGTAATCAAGCAAATTCACATGTACCGAACAAATTTTATTTTATTTCTTTTTTTTTAAATTAAGTTTGGAACGAAAATTTTATTCTATATTTTTTCTTATATTTTTATGAAGAACCACTTCGTGCCTGTTTGTAACAATTTTCGAATCTACTTTATATATTGTTGGTTTATTATAAGATCAGTACCCAAAATTAAGCCGCAAAATTTAAAAAATCGATTTCAAATAGAAGTTTTTAAATAAAAAATTACTGATTATTTAATCATTTAACAATTAATAATTTTTTTTTTTTGGAAAAACGCTTCAAAAAAATATTATTCATATGTATGGTTTAATATTTAAAAAGAGATCAAAACGTATTATCAGTCATGCGAAGGTTAAAAGAATGAATACTTGATAACTGAACATTTTCAAATACGCAGCGGCAAAAGAGATAATTTTAGTAGAATTACTAGAATATACATATATATTAGCTTGCTGAAAGATCCAAAAAATTTCGACACTTGATAGTATGTAGTTCGAATTATATTCTGCGAAGATTGAAGAGTATTGTCCTCCTCGTGACACCGTTAATGTTTATAAATACCTATAAATATTTAATTTGATCAATCATACAATACAAATTACTTATTCCGTTTCTCATAAAACAATTATTATTTTATTATAATTATATTAAAATATTCTTTTCGGACAAGCTTAATGTATTTGAAAGCAAAAACCGGTAAAGGCATTTAGCCAAAGAGTGCTTACAGCTACTACTAACTTATTTTTAAATTAAACAAAACGGTAGCTTCATTGATTTTTTGAAGAAACATAAATACAGATAGTAATTATCCTGATGATTATCTTAAATGTCGTTCATCTAGATCAATTCAAATTATAAAATACTTTGACTTAAATTCTGGTCAAAACAAATAATTTACTTACATACATATATTCACGTACATTATAGCCATTTATTACTAAAGAAAAATGATTTTAATTTCGATGAAATATACCATCACAGAAAGAAATAAACAATAAAAGAAAAAATTTCTATTAAAATTAGATTGAAAATGATCTATATACTACGTACGATTGTTATCTATTATTGAGATAAATTGATAATTAATCGAAAACACAATTGCATTGTTTGGTACCAACGATGTAATGCACTCGAGCAATTTATAATACAGAGGCATGTAGATACGCGGTACTCATTACTACAAATCGATAGCGAACGTTTCTTTGATAAATGTATTCAAACTTATACCAATCTCTACATATTTCAAAATACGTAATAAAAAAATAAACGCATATTAGAATGGAAATCGTTGGAAAAAATATCCTACCCTTAAGGATCGCAAAACCCTTTTAATATCCGAGGCACGTCGAAGGATCTAGTCTCGATGTGCTGGTAGGTGAAACGTGCACAATAAAATTGCTCACAAATCGCAAACTCCGTGTGATTAATGTTACTCTTGTGGCTTCATTTGGGCAAGAATTAAGTGGCTTTGCTGCGACAAATTCTATGTATGCACTCATACAAAAAAAAAGAAACGTTACGAATACGATGTTCGGTTGACGTGTAACTACTGAGTGACAAGTAACTGGCGATGTAGCGAGCAGCGCCGTTCTGCTAGTCTAGTACTGAGCTGAGAAAGCAGTTATGTATATGAACATGAATGTGTGCAGTAGTATGTATATGTAGTATGTGTGGTAGAAGTAGAGCAGACTGTGTCGATCCAGCGTACGACGACCTTAAGCTTCTGCACTTCCAAATTCGCGCATCGTTTCATTCTGGCCACTATTTAATTATACTGCAATGTATTTATGTCTGTTTTAACAGATAAGATAAAATACTTTTGGAACATAGTGTATAATCAATCTTTAATGTTAAATATAGAGATATTATTCACGCGAATTAAAAAATCAATATCAAGCGTATGCAGGATAAAAGGGGTTGAATGTATTTTGTCCCATTCCCTAGTTTCTTTTCTTTTTTTTTTTTTTTTTTTTTTAGAAATCTGTACGATACCATTCAAGGAAACTTAATTACAATTTATGATAATTTGCTATAAACAATTAACGTTAAATGTAATTAACGGAGATTTATTGACTGAATTGCCTAAAAATTTTAAGATATTAATGGTATTGAAAAATAAAAAATGGAGAAACAGTAAAATTGATTATTTAATTTTCCCACTTATCACATTGATCCAAGTACTATATTATAGAATAGTTGTATTTAATTGGACCATATTACAGTTCATTGGCAGTATTCAATGGTGTTGTAACTTTCTTTTAATCTAATATACAGAATTTTGTACAATGCAATTTATCTATACTGAAATATTACAAGATATAGTAAATTTGTTAATAATACTCTATGTTATTATCTAATCAATCAAATTTTTATTTCATTATATTATAAATTTAAAAATTTGAACACCATTTAAATACCAAATTATCAAAAGATTATAAAAATAAGATCACCTTACAGTATTTTCAAATAATGTAATTATTTGAAAGAATATAATTATAATCTGTAAATATCAACGTCCAAATATTATATAATTAAATTTTATCATAATTAAATTTGTCAGTTTACTAAATGTTTCAACACATTGAAATTGATAATGACACATGATGTTACATTTAAATCTGATGACAGTATGCTTAAATCTGATTTCTGTATGCTTATTAACTGCTTATAATTTATTATCATTAGTATATTACGTATATATTACGGTTTAAAAATAGAAAGAATTAATTAGTAAAATCTGAATTTTATAAAAATTTTGATAACAATTTGATAAAACATACAATGCATTGAAAAAAATATAAACAAATGTATCTTTAGATCGATTGGACCCTCCACAGTCACTTAAATGGTAGTTTATATATATGGTAAGTGCCGCGAGAAAATAACCTCTAATGGAAAGCATAAAACCGGTAGAAAATATCTCGAAATGTATCAAAACTATTTGTCCATCACCAGAGGAACTTAGTGTCATAACAAATAATGTAAAGTGCGATAAATGCGGGCTCGTATTTAAAAATGGACCGAGGTATCGTTTACACGATCTTAAAGTACATCAACGTAAAAATTTAGATAAAACAATAAAAGAAAATGTACAATATCATTGTCCGGTAGAATCTTGTATTTATGCTCCAAAAGCTGAAAGACATTTTAGTACTATGAAATATCTTAAACAGGTTAGTGTTGTTATTGTAAAAAGAATATTTTTTAATGAAATTGATTAAAGTTTCAATACTCCAATATATATCTAGCATTATCTTAAGGTACATGCAAAAAAAACATACGCATGTACTCGTTGTGAAAAAAGTTTTTCTACTGAATCAGCGAAAGAAGGTCATATGAGGATATGTGGAATTGAATTTGCATGTTCTTGTTCAAAAACTTATACGTCCTATGAAGCCTTGCTTACACATGCAAAACGAGCTTTACATACAATAAATGATAAATATAAAAATTCCTTGAAGTAAGCTGATCATGAAAGATAAATAATTTAATGTTCTATTATTTGACACATTTGAATACAATATGATTAATTTTTATTTTAAACATTTTTTACAGACGCACAAATTCTAAAACAATGAGATTGATTTTATCAACTAGTCAAACTGAAATAAATAAACTAGTTACAATACTACCAACAAATCAAAATGAAAATAGAATATCTAATTGTAATAATGATTCCACGCAGAAATGTACATCAGATATTGGTATACAAACTGAGGAATACAAGAAGAACAAAAGAATATCAAGTCCATTAAAGCATGTTAACAATAACGGAAAGCGTGGAATATCTAAACAAACACAGACAAGTGTCTCTCAAAGAATTAGACAAAATGTAATGTCCATGGAAACACAAACACAAGCTTCACAAACATTTAAGAATTCGCTAAAGCCTCAGAAAGATGGAAAAAATTCTGTATCTCAAAATTCTGATTATACACTGTTAAAGGAAGACCTTAATCTTGGCAACTTTACAGCCTCAAATTTATTTCCTAGTAGTCCATTACCACTTCGTCATGATGATGGATTACAAGATTTTTGGGAAGATAAAAGTACATCAGGCACTCAAACAATACCTGAAAAAGACATGTTTGAAGTTCTCAATGATAATGTTACTCAGACAGAGTTTGAAACATTTTATGATCATAGTACAAATCCATTAATACAGTGTACTCCAAAGAGTACAGTTGCTTTGATGACTTTACCTTATGTTGAAGAAACGTCGACCGTTGTTGAAGGATATTCCTTTGTATCCTCAAATAGCATGTCACGGTCAGATCCCATGCTTACAGATAAAACTTTTGATGATAAATTTAGCAGTATAGAAACTCAAACTGAACAAGCTTATTCACAATCATTTTTTGATTCAGATCCTTTAACCAGATCATTCGCTCTAAGTTCTACCATTGAAACACAAACTACAAATAATCTTGATAACATGGAACAGCTATTATATAGTAATACATGCACACAAACATGTAATGAAATACTACCGACTGATCTAGGATTATCTAACATTCAAACACAAACACCTTGGACTCAACTCGAGGACACTACTGTTTCTGCTGAAACGCAGACAAAATCCTTGATATGTGAAACAGGTTGCAATATTTCAATAGGTGCATGTCGTTCCTGGTTGAGTACTCAAACTAGTCACACTGAAACACAAACTGATTTACTTAGTATTTTTGAAGGTCTTCAATAATAAAATATTCAATCTTTGTACATATGGCAGTATAACAATTGATACTTAGGAAAACTATTTTAAGTTTAAATCGAAAATAATTTGTATTTGATATTGCAAATGAGATTATTTTTCTGTATTGTTATTTCGTATTTTGGTATTTTTTATATTTTGTTATAAATTATTTAAATTCTTATATATGTGCAATTTGTTAATGGAACATTACATGTATCGATCAAGAACTGCATATCTTTAAAAAGAATCTTTAAATGTTTTAAATTTACTGTATTGTACAGTATCCATTGCCACAATCTTAAACTATATATTATTTCCAGAATGAGAATAAACACAATGCAGGCAATGTAATTCTGTTACATGTAATTATTAAAATTATTAATTTAAAACTTGCACAATGAAGACTATTATTAATATTGAATTTAAATTTTAAGGGGGCAAATAAGCCTTGAAACTTTTTTTCTAACTGAGATATAATGTGATTTCAAGTAATATATTACAAATAAATTAAATTAATAAAGTTCAAGCCATATAACAGATACAAGCTATTGCATTTCGAAATAAACTATAAATATAAAATATAAAAGTGTATAAGTAATTTTCACTTATAAACATTGATCTATAAATTTTACGATAATTTTATGACATATATTATAAAGATAAAATATTTTATTATAATATACAATATATGGTTTTGAAGTTTTTAGCTTAATTATTTTTTAATATATGTAACCAAAATTATGATTTTTAAATTGAAATATTTGCAATTGTTTATGTGTCACATACAAAGGTAATTTTTAAAAGTTTAATTATATATGTATTGTTACTATACATTGTTGCTTCAAAAAACATTTGTGAATTTGTATAATTACAACTTTGTTTGAAAAAAGATTAACATTTCTGAGACTCAAGAGTCATATACCCCCTTAAATAGAAAAATATGTGAAGAATCTTGTCTGCTTCAAGTGTAATTGTTTAACTGATAGTTTCAACATTTACAAAGAAATAGAACATGTAATTTGAACTGTACACGTAACATTGTTACAATAACTATTAAAATATTGTTTTTCTTTTAACAATTGCGTTGGAATTATATATTGAATCCCAACCAATGCTTCGCATTATGATTTCACGTCAAAACGTACATATAAAAGTTAAAATCTTTAATTTTTTTTTTTTCTTTTGCTCGGAGCCGCATCGTGATAGATCACGATTAAGCTATTGTTTAATCCATGTTTGTTGTTAAGGTTTAAAATTACACTTAAAAAGTCATGCTTTGCCAAGCAGGGACGATATATGATTGTACACCTAGAACTGTTATGCAAGTCGAAATTCAAGAACTATTATTAACAGGTAAAGGTATAACAAACATGATATGAATATCGTGCTTTTTAATCGAATCAAATCACTAATCGACTCCAAAATGGATACTCAACGCAACTTGCGTGAGTTTAAGGAACTTATTAGCACAGGTTGGGATACATGTCATAGAAGTGAAACAAGGGTAGTATGCAGAAAAAGGGGTATATAAGAATGTATTAAAGTGCAGGACCAGCAGCATTATCTTCATCAAAATCTGGTAGAAAATCTTTGGTCCGGTCTTCTATTCTATCCATATTCTCAAGTGCTGAAGCTAGTATTCTTAAATTGTCCACACCAGACATTAATTGTCTATAACAATTCCAATATATATTATTATTTGAATTACTTAATTTAGAAATCTAGCTGAAATATAACTTTTTACCTTAAAGACACTTCTGCTGTTGAAGCAGCATGTCTCAAATCACCTGCTAGCCTTTTAACTGCCTGATCTGTGTTTGAAGAACCATATTCATTTCTACTTCCCGCTGCAATTCCAGCTCTCAACTCTTTGTTTTCCAGACGGAGTAATGATATCTCTGTCTGCATTAATATTATGTTTCTTATTTAATAATCAAATATGTTGTGACACGTATAGAAAGAGATGAAAATGTATACCAACCGTTAAAGATTTAATCTCTTTTTTCAACGATGAGATAGTACTTTCTGCATTTGCTGCTCTTCTCTGTAAAAAAAGAAACATTATGGATATTAATTAAATATATAAAGCATTCTTGTACTCACTGCACTACGTTTTAGATTATCTTCAACTTGTTCCATTGCTTTTTCAAGATGGATTGTTTCTTCATGATCCACTTCTTTTCTGGATGCCAATTCTGATTCTAATAATTGAATCCTGTAATAAACTTGTATAAATAAACTGGAGAACATTCTATTATTATAAATAAAAAAGCCTTGAAAATATACTTTTCTGATTTCTCACTGACTTCTTTTTGAGCTAATTCTAATTCCTGTCGTAATCTTTCATTTTCCTGCAGTAACTAAAAAAAGAACCCATATTTTATAATTAGAATATAAAAAAGATATATCATAATTTAATAATAATATATAAAAAATATATCATAATTTAAAATTCAATATTATTCACACCCTTCTTTCTGTAGACTCTACATTATTTGGAATAGATCCAGATTCCGTTGATAATGTTGTCCTATTATGAATAGGACCATCATTTAAAAAGTCTGGCAAAGCTTTGGAAACATTTGCTTCGCTTGTCCCTGAGTGAGAACATTCTCTTATAACAACATTTGACTCAGAATCAGGATCAACTGTAGATATTGGTAAATCTAATGGAAATCCTATATAATAAAATATCATAAATAAACAACTTACATAAATCATACTATAATAATAATATATCATACTATAATTAATAATATATCATTTCATAAATACCTAATGGTTCTGGACTTTCAGTAGATCCTGCATTAGATCTAACAAAAGCAGGTAAGGTCGTATGACCTGAACAACTTGTATTTGGTATGGATTGATTTCTTTGAGGTATTGTTTTGTCCAAATTTCCAGTTAAATCAAATGAAAGATCACATAAAGCACTAGATTCGCTTTTTTTTGATTCGTTTCTAAGTCGAGTTTGTCTCTGTTTTACACTGTTCAGTGCAAAATCAGGAAGATTATCAACATCTGAAATAGTCTGTTGTTTTGGTTCATGATTTAAATAGTATTGTTCTATAACTAAATGATCTTGTACGAAGTCTGGTAATTCTGTTGGATTACGAGAATAAACAGCAGAACTCTTCTCTAAATTATATTGAGTAGGAGATGAATAAACTTTTGGACGTGCTCCAGCATTCTGATAATTTATCTGCGAACCATTTTTTAGAAAATGTTTAAAGCTGAAAGGATTTTCTTCAGTTTTTGACGTATTTTGCCCTGTAAATAACAAGAAACAACAAACATTAAACTAGTTATTAGCTTCATTTTTTGATAAATATCAGGTTAAATCTAACCTGCTTGAGTCTCTGTTTCACTACGATTCCTAGCGAAGTACTCTTTCGACGTGTTTCGACAACTCCGACATCCCGTTGTTACCTCTTCTTCGGAGGATGAAGATGATGAAAACATGACCTCTCCGACATGACGCCGCGCATTTTTTGATACGGATCGAGACGAATCATTACTTTTTTTGCGACTCGCCATCATCTATGTAGAAGATCAACTTTACCGACAATCGTATCATTTGCGATGCAGTCAAAACTGCACTTAACATTTGTCACTCGCTGTTCGCAGGTCGGGTTAGGTTAGTTTTGCGGTACACAATTTTTTCTTCTTTAACATCACTCAAGAACTCAACGTGAATATAGGAAGGGTGTATATTTTCTACTTCCCTATCTGCATCTTTTGTTTCGTAATATACATATATAAAGTTATTATTACACTCGATTTCTTATCTGAAATGAGTCGCAAGTCATGTAAAGGTATATACATATATATATCAGTAGGTATTGAAAAAGAAAAAAAATTAACTAGTGAAAGAATTATTCTGAATTAAAATTACGATTGACATGTATTATTATATTGAAATGTGAAGAACGCAATGTGAAATGTTTATATGTTAATTTTTTTCAACGTAATAGGTGCGCGAATTATAATTTCGTGAGAGAGGTTATCCACCACGTGGAGATATTGTTGATTATTTTAATGTATACTACGATTTTAATAACAGAATGTCTCACGAAAAGCCTTGTCGTGCGTGCATGGATTTTAAATCGTGGGCAAAAAGTCAAAAAAAGACTTTTGAATCCGAAAAGGTATAAGCAAGAGGTTTTTTTCTTTACATAAAACTGTATACAAAACGCAACCAATTTTTTTTTTTATAATAAACATTTTATGATTACACATTCGAAAGTATTACATCATTATAAAAATTACATGATGATAAATATCGATTAGTTTTCAAAAATGTGAGAAATAATATTAGCTTATGTTGTGAAACAAATTATAAATCTCACATTATACATTTTATTATGTCAGGAATCTGAGAAAACGGAGAAGAAAAATTCACCTGTAAATAATGTTAAACGCGACGATTGTCCATTAGATAAAGATGAATTAGGTTCAAGAACATGGTCATTTTTACATACCATGGCAGCATATTATCCTGACAATCCGACTGATGAACAAAAATCGGATATGACAAGGTTTTTTCACATATTTTCAAAGTTTTATCCTTGTTCTGTTTGTGCAGAAGATTTACAGGAGCAATTAAAAAGAACTCCACCGCAAATTAATTCACAGTCACAATTGAGCCAGTGGCTTTGCATAATACATAACGAAGTGAACAAAAAACTTGGGAAACCTGAGTTTGATTGTAAATTAGTTAACCAGAGGTGGAGAGATGGTTGGAAAGATAGTTCCTGTGACTAATGATTATTAGTTATAATTGTAATTGTGTAACAAAATCTATATGTGATGTAAAAATCATTATGTAAGTTGATTATTGTAAATACTTTTGTAAAAAAATATCAAATTAGTTGAAAATATTAATATCGCATTTATCATTGTCAATTAATTATTAAACATAATATCTTAATTAAGAACATTAAAAGAAGTAAAAGTAAAATTGTACAATTATAATTACATAATTTTGGAGTATGGTTATTATTAATGTTGCAAAGTAGATGGTATTGAACGTGAAATAGTAAATGCAGAACTTGTTGTTCTAACATGAGGTTCATAACTGTGATCTTGTCCTTCACCACCAATAGGCATGATTTGACATGTTCTAATATGAAATGGAAAACGTTTGTTAGCCATAGATGGTCTAGTGATATATAAAAATATTATGTGTCCCATAAAAGTAGTCCATAATAAACATCCCTTAGCAACACTTTCTCGTACCCACTCGTCTACTAATAAAGTGATGCAAAGTACCTAAAACATTATAAACATTTTACACATTCTAAGAGAATGAACAAATTCTATATAAATATTTTGTTATATAACATTTTACATTACTGTAATAATATAACATTATACAGTACTGTATTTTTTTTATATACCGTTAATGGATGACATAAAAACCACGCTGATCCCAATGAAAATAATGAACCATAAAAATGAAGTTTTGTTGACATTTTTGTAACAGTTTTAAAACATTGAAGAGAAAATATAATCCATGCAATCAATTTCAATATTATTAATCCATAGCCTGGCGGTGACTCATAAATGTACAGTACTAATCCAGGATCAAAGACATCAAATTGATAAATATATAATGAAAATTGACAGAAAGAAATTAGGCATATAAAACATATAAGCCATCGAGTTTGTCTAGGTTTTAAAATACTTTTAGTTACTGTATAACCAAGAGCCAGTAATAACATAAGTATAGTATACAAAATATCTGAACATGCTTCTAATAATTGACCAAATAAAAGAGCATTTTCTATTTGTATCCCCTTTAAACCAAGAGTTATATAACTATAAATTTCGAGTAATATTCCTACTAATTGACAAAATAGTGAAGTCATAAATATTTTGTAAGATACATGTAATAATCTTCTTGCTCTTAATTGTATGGCTACGTAAAAACTTAATATTACAAGTATCACATAAATACAAGCAATTGTTATCAGTTCTGGTAGTATATCTGAAATAAAAAATAGATTTAATTAAACAGCGTTAAGTAACTTTAAATCAATATAATGTTACTTGCAGAATTCATCTGCCGAAAAGTGTTCTTTCCAAAAGTGCCCATGCGGTGCATTTGTTAACGATATCCAATACGAAATGTTTAATCCAGTTTTCGAAGAACAATCTGCTAATGCGATAAACCACCATCTCGGACGAGATGATCGAAATCTTCGATAATTAGAGCATCGTATTATTGCGTCTTCTTTTTCGACGCATCCTGATTCTTCAGATATGGATGTAGATAATGGTACTATTTGTCCAATTCCATCCCAAAGTATAGCTTCTTTTTCCATACATGTTTTATTCGAAGGATAAACGCTTGGCCATTGATTAGGAGCATCATAATACAACAATATCTTTAAATTTTGTTCATTACCTCCCAATTCGAATTCATATCGAAATGTGCCTTGTTCCGTTAAGAAGCAAAACCTTGCTAGAAATGCCCAATTCTGAAAAACATTACAGTACAGACTGAAAAAAATATTTAAATTAATATGAAAAATTATTGATACAATTCTTTATAATTAATGTATTGAATAGAAAATACACTATATAGAAATATTATGTACAATGTAATAATCTGACTTATATATATTTTCAGAAACAGTATATTTTTACTAATTTTACTTTGACATATTATTGTTTTAAATTAAATATTAATATTATCGTATCAAAGTAGACAGTAGTAGAAGTAGAAAAAGTTAAAAAAGAATGTTTATAGTACTTCACGTGTTACAAGATGTCCTTGAAGTATTTTGGTCTCTGAGTATATTAATAAAAATTTAAATATTATAAAAAATAATGACAATATGGTAAACATAGTTGACACACGACCGTATATTTTTCCTGAACTAAAATATCTATACAAGCATATATCTGTAACATGTTACCGGCTACCTGCTGTTTTTCTCATGATCAATATTTCCCTGCTGCTTAGAACTATGTATGCATTTTTAATTAGCGTATTGATTTATATTGTAATAATAAATACTTCAAATAAACAATATTGAAGGGAAAAAATGTCAAACATGAATTTCATATTTTTGAATTGTAATTTAAAGCTTCGGAATGAATTCTCATTTAAAGCTTTAGAATCGTTTTGTTGTTTAGTTCATACTTTTTATAATCTTGACCTTTATTTTTAATAGTAGACATAATAATAATAATAATAGTAATATATACGTATATAATAAACTAATATGTACACATAGATATACGTAGATATACACGTTGGAATAAAACAGAAAATATCGAAAATTTTATAGAATATTTAAATTGTGTTATTGAAACTATTTTTGTCTAGAAAAAAAGTATAATTATACAATTTATACAATTATAAAAGTCTATTAGAAAACAATATATATATAATATAAATAATAACTATTGTACGATTAATCATTTATTACGTACGAATTAATTTCTTGATTTTTTATGATTAAATGTTAATGTCTCGTTTTAATATAAATTTTCTAATTATTATTAAAAATATATATGCATATATATATAATCGTCTGATGATGAAGAAACTTATTTGTTAAACATCCTACATTAATTTTATGTGCTGTTCATGTTTTCTGTTATGTCACTGGTTAGTCTAAACACGTGTAAAAACAAATGTAAATGTGTGTTTTGTATTTTACAAAAGTATTTTTTTTTTAGTATTTGACTTTTTATATTATCTATAAAAAAATTTTTTATATTACGTATAAAAAAAATTCATAGTATAAAGATTAATTTATTAGTGTAAAGATTAATTTTTGTTATTAATTGGAATAGAGGTTATAAACAACTAAGTGATCATGAAAAATAAAAACGAAAGTCTTAAAGGTTTTAAAAGTAAATATATAATATTTTGTTGAATGCAATAATTAATAAATTTATTTATTTAAATAATTTTTTATTTAAATTATTCAATTATTCAATTTGTAGCACTATGGCTTCAATTTGACAAAGAAACTACTGACAAGCATCAATTATTTTTTAAAGAGCATTCAATTAGAAACCAAGACTCGAAACATCCCAAAGGAAGGACACTATTCCTGTTAAATATTCCTCCCTATATTTCACATAAAACTTTAAAAGTAATATTCAGTAATTTGTGTGGAACTGTGTCTACAGTTTATTTTATAACTTCCAAAGGATTTAAAACAGCATACATAGTCTTTGAAAAAGAATCTGCTTTAGAAAAAGCGTTAGAAATTTGTGATGAGCACATAGTAACATTAAATAGTAAAAGAAAAATTTGTTTTACAGGATTGGAAAGTGAGTTATATAAAGTACATATACATTTATAGAGAATACCTCTATAAAATACTTCTTAATTCATTTTAATAAATTTAACAGAATGGTGCTTCAAATATAATCGTGCTTTACTATGTGATGAAAAAATACTGAAAAAGAAGATTGAAGTTTATATGCAAAATTATGACCAAAAAATTGCTGAGAAGATAGCAAAAGAAAAAGCAATGAAAGAAGAAGAAGCAGAAAATGATGGTTGGGTAACTATTACAGGACGAAAGAAAAGAGGACAATTTGCACTTTCCAGGAAAGAATCCACTATTAACAAAGTACAACGCAAAGAAGAACAAAAAAATAAGAAAAAGCAATTGCTTAACTTTTATACTTTCCAAATTCGTGAGAGTAAAAAACAGAGTAAGTTTTACATCATATGAGCTTCAACGTTTATGTATAATTTCCATATTTCATTAAATTTTTCTGTACAGATTTGGCGGAATTACGAAAAAAATTCGAATTGGATAAAAAAAGATTACAAGATCTAAAATCTAAGAGGACATTCAAACCATTTTAATATTTAATCAAATTAATCATGTTCATATGAAATAGATATTTATTATGTTGTAAAAAATTTGTTTACATTTACAGATATGATTTTATATGTATATTATTACATTTAAATTTATATACAATTCCACAAAACAAAAGTAATTATAATAGAAATTCAATAATATAATTAAGCAGCTTTAGATGCATAAGTTTGTAAAGTCCATTCAATTAAGAAATGCTGATAGGATAAAGGTTGTAACAAAGCTAATAATTCCTCTGTAAAAAAAAGAAAATACAAATTAATTTTTAATAAATTAATTTCATATTAAAAAATTATGATATATACGTTTGTTTCCATAAATACAGTTTGCACACATGGCTGTACTAACAGCTTGTCCAAGTCGTTCCATAGTAAGATCACGTGAAATAGAATTAATGTTTGTTTGGGACTGTAAAGTAGCAGTTAAAGTTCGAATAGTAGCAGCGAAATGTTGCGCAGATATAGCATGTTTATTATTTCCGTTGTTTTTTAATCGCAATACCGAGTCCATTAGCAAGTGTTGAATTTTAGAATATAATTTTTTTCGTTCCTCAAAGTAGTCTGTATTTTCTATGTCAATTGAACGTACAGGAGACAAAATACACCACCTAAAACATATTTACATTTATATTTCTATTTATAAAATCATAATGCTTTATTTTATGCAAGAAGTTTTTTTTTTTTAAATTACCTGAATAAACCTGCTATTGGTGTTATTGGTGTCATTGGAATGCCACCAGTTGGTAAAGCAGGATTGTCTATTAAAGGAGTCAATAAAAGACTTGGGTTTTCATCTATCCATTCTCCTATCAATCTGAGTAGTTCTGTAGGTGGATCTTTATCTTCATAAACCTCACCTATTGCCGTTAGTAAATTGGCAGTGAAATGTGGTGCAAGAACAGGAAACTGCTTCAATTTGTCAATAGATTTTGGAGTAAGGACAAAATAGTCATTAAGTACGTGCCTTGCTAATCCTACGCTCTGCGGTGAAGTAGAGCCTAGTTGTTGCATCCAAATTCCAGTCGCATTCAAGACTGCTTTGTTTTGAGTAGCAATAGCTAAAGATACTAAATTGCCTAAGATTTTATATCTAGGACTATCTGCGGGGAAAAGAGATAAAAATACTGCGTTGCGTACTGCAGCACTTCCACCAGGGCTTTGGAAGAAATCGCTTAGGACTTCTATTAATTGCAACTCTTGTATTGCCATTGTCAGGTTGCGTTTTTTCCGCCTTTCTATTTCTCCAAATACAAATTCTGATATTAAATCTAGTTGTAAATCCATTTGTTTTCCAGGTCTACCGCATAATATTTCTTTAAAGATAGTAATAAAATAATAAAACATGTTTAATAATATAAATATAAAGTTAACCTAACTTAATCTAACCTATGTTAATCAATATCTTACCGATTCTGCATAATGCCTCTCTAGCGCAATAAGGAAAATCTAATTTTCGTAAATTTTGTTTTATATCATTTCCTGCCATTAATGCATATATACGTTTACAATATTTAAGAACATTCAAAATAAACTATTCAGTTTTTATATGATTTAACGAACAAAACATTGAATATATTTCATAAAGTTATAATTTTGCATTTTCATGAACGTGATATGTTTTTGGTAACTAACGAAGAACAATGTATGTATATTAATTAATATTTTGTATATATCTATCTTGAGTTTGTATAGTAGGACGAATATCCAATAATCACGTAGTTGAGCTATTTGGTTTTAAACGCGCGAAAAAGGGAATTTATTCCCTATAATTATATATAGAACACCTGCGTCCTTTATTTAATTATGATAAATAATTAATCAAAAGTATACTCTGTATACTTTTTATATATTCAATTGTAAACAATATAACATTACTTAACTATAATCAATGTACGCCGAACATCCGAGTCGAATATCGAATTTTTGAAAGCGAACGATATATGTACACATACATTAATTGAAACAATGTTTTGTACAATAATTTTTGTACATTACAATCTATTATTTTTATTTTAAAGAATATTATCATAAAGAATGCAAAAAGTAGTGATTTTAGAAGAAAAATATGGGAAAATTATCAAATAACGAACGAAATTTATATTTATAATTATGAATTAATAATTACGTAAAGTTGAAATATATTTGAAGTTTGAGTTACTTAAATTTACGTATTATAATTTATGTAAATTTTATATTTTACATTTATATATGTATATTTTAATAAAAATATTTTTTCCAGTATTGAAATTTAGATCTCGCTTCACGTGTATCGCAATGGGATCGGACATTCAATGCGTAGCGCCATCTTTGAGTAGGTTGCGAACTACATTGTTAGTCAAAACAATCGCCGAATTCAGGATCTATTTTTAGGCGGCACACGCTAAGCTACAGTACTTCACTAATTTTCGTGTGCATCGAAAAAAAAGGATAGACTGCTCTAGTGTCTCGTATAATTGTCTATCGATTTCGAAAAGGTTCAACGACCTCACGATAATTGTGACAAGAGACCGACCGGCCATGTTTATATCGTGGTGAATTTTGAGCCAGCGGCCCGTAATCTACAGAGTAATTTTCCACGTGTACTTGCTCGATACTCGTGTCGTTTACCGTACATCCAGCACGGTGTCTAAGGCCTTTGCGAGATGGAGTCTAACGAAAGGGGTGAGTAAATCTACATAGAAATAAAATCACGACAATATTGAGCCTCTGACACAAATCGCGACCTGGGGGCAATGGCAGTGTCAGGGTCGAAACGGAACTAGTTCAGTGACCGCATTCGCGACATTTGACCGCGATATTACCCGAGAATTTCTTTTCGAACATATCTCCCATTCGTCTTGAACCCTCTACGAATGTGGCATTTCTCTTTGAGATAATGTTCCTGTGAAAATTCCTTTCGAGATCAAATCTATGTCACATCTTGCTTTTGTTCTCGACTGTACACTCTCTTGGTTTAATCCTTACGCGTGTCTTATTTACACGAAACAAACACAGAAGTGCATACAAAAAAGAAACATTTTGTTCCCCAATGTGACATTGTTATTTCTCTTTTAGTTGTCGATGTCATAAATAAGCGATTTGTTCAAATAGGCGTAGCTTGTATTTCATGTTTTTCTTTTTTTGACGTTTTACCTCGTGGTAGTGAAGAAGGGTCGTACAGCTACGTTTTCTATTACGCAATAGTATAACGGCGTGTCTCTAACCTAGATAATCTCTCGCATATAGAAAATTGAAGCCAGGGTACCGCTTGACAGAGACACGTGAGAATTATTATCGCTTGACCGAGTCCGGCATGTGTTGCAATGTGGCGACACCTGCCGACCGTTTGTGCACGTCCTACCTCAAGCTAGTGCGAATTAACCCTCTCCGTGTTCGTTGCCGTTCAACCCTTTCGTCTTATGAAAGACGTAGATGAACGGGGTGATGTAGCGAAATAAACAAAATTTTTTCAGAGACTATCTAACAATTTAATAATAATCTAAATTAGGTTAATAACGTTGAACGAAGTTCTGCTAAATAAATGAATATATTTGAATTAAAAATTAATTAATTCCAATGGTAATATTCAACTGTAGTTTATCTTTTATCCTTTGATTAGTAATATGTTGAAATCGTTGAATGGTAAAAAGAATTAAAATGTTAGAGGAGAAAACTGCATTCTACTTTATAACATAATATTTATTGACAAAGATTGAGGTTAGAAAGTTTCAATTGAGAAAATATTGGTAAAAGAATATCGGAATTATATTTTTGACTATGAATTGATCTGTATATTACATTATATATTATGCATGAACACAAATGTGCATCATACTAATCTAAGTTCTATTTTGTCTGTACATTTTAATATATATATATACATACACGCACGTACACACACAATATTCATACAAGTGAAGTTAAAAAATGGATCGTTCAATTAAATGTGTTATTTGTTTTTACTGTACATTAATTCGTATCTAAATTACATATACTTCAGTCATGCAACTAAATGTCATTTTGCAGTTTTGCAAACATTTAATATACTACTCATTTTTCTCATCTAGTGTTTTATAGTTTTACCATTCTTCTTCTATAAAATATCTTTTGTTTAGTTATATGATTTATATAACATTCGAGTTCTTTCAAAAATATGCTGTTTCGCGAAATTTCCAGAATCTTTCGGTTTCTACTAGAGGGCAGGCGTGCACTGTTGTTTTGTCCCTTTATTTTTAATTCGTTTCTTTTCTCCGTTTTTCTTCTGAGATCCTTCTCCTCTTTCTCTGCTAGATTCTTCCGTGTTATATAAGTCCAAGGACGAACTTCGCGATCTCACTCTCTCTATTTGTTTTCACATCTCCTTTTCTCCTTGACGTTTCTGTTTTATTTCTTTCTATATCAGTAGTGCTGTCTTTTTCGCTCCTTTTCTAACCTGTCTTCTGTTGTCCTTCCGTCTCTTTTCCTCTTTTTATTCTTCCGGTGTTCTGCATTCTCTTTTTGTCCTCTTCCTTCTCTCTTTAACGTGTTTTCTTCTCTATTCTTTACCGTATTGCTTTATTACATTGGTCTGTGCATGCTATGCATCCCTCTCCTTCTTTCTTTCATTGTGCTTCGATTTGCATTATGATTGGATGGTGTTCTTTGTTGGTTGGAGCTAGTGTACTGTTAACACGCGTCCTCGGTTGAATAATTTATGAAAAACGTGCTGCTTGTTTTTGAAAGACGGAGCATATTTTTCTATTGCGGATTTTTTTTTTATTTAATTTTTGAATACTCGTTTCAGGGTCGACTACATAATTTTCATAAATGTAGTATTGTTTAAAGTAAACTCGAATAGATTTACATTGTACATCATAACCTTGAATTTCTTCAAGGTTATGACTGTGCAAATGTTACGTAACCAAAGAGTAACTGTAGCTATACTTAATCTAAAATTTCGAACTGAATTCGTTTTTCTTTTCTTTATTTATGATCGAATCGTATCACAAGTCAAATTTTTACCCAAATTATGATGTAGTTTTATATAATAAATCGGTTTTTGTCAAAAGACTTATACCAGAAAGAGATTGAGCTCAAGCTCAATTTCGCATCTTCTACGAGCAAAGTTCCAAGCTTTTCAAAAATTTGAAAAAATTCTCCGATATTTAACGAAGTCTTTGTTACATTGTAGAATTAATTTTTTGAGTCAAATGTCATTTTTTTGCTTCGAAAAAATTTTTGGGTGAAATACGTATAATATTTTTAAAATTCGTTGAAAATTTCATAATTTTAATAATCCGGAAATAAACGATCCAGGTTATCTATTTAAATCTATTAATTTTCTGTGAAATAATTTCGAAGGACACTTCTTTTTCGATCGTCTTCATTTCGCGAATGAATTTTACTCGGAGTATTTTTGATAGTCATTTTGATAATAATTAATACATAACAGTAATAGTAATTAATAATACGTGACGCGAGTTGCATAACTGCGTTGGTAACAAACAGAATGCAAATCCACGACGATCGTCGTATTTCATCAACTATCGTGACAATTAGATGATATTGATTTATAGCGTTCAACGCGAGCTAGGAGGATGGATAATTGATGACCTTGCGCGAGATTATGCTCGTCCAACGGGTATCGTACGATTTCGCGTCCTCGGGGATGGGATTGCACGAATTTTCTCGTTACAGGGAGTTACATGGTGAATTAGGCGCGGCTTTTGCGAAATTATCGGCGTATCTTGAACTATATAGCAATTTCTTGCAATTTGAAGTTTCACTTGGAATTAACGACAAACTTCATAAAAGAAATACGTAAGTAGAAAACATACTAGCTGCATCTATGAAAGAATTTAAAAAAAAAAGGGAAAAACTCCAGTTTTAATTAATTGGTTTGTTTATCTGCAAATGACCTTGTTTCGTCTAGCTATATTTTCTCTATCGTTTGGCTAACTTTGATATTTGAACCTCATCGAATGAGTCAATTAGCAAGTTGAGTTCTGCTACAAAGAATTATTTCTTTTGCTCATAGTTCGTATATGTATACGTACGTAAAATTAATCATTGCAATAACCTGTAGTTTTATCGTTAAATTCCATGGAATACACATAGTATGAAAAATGTAATAAAATGTCCAAAATATGTACATTTTGCACATAAAATAATTTTCTGTGGTAAATGTTTTAATTATACTCTCAAAAATATCCATTTTCTCTCAAAAATCTATGTTTATTCTGTAAGAAAAATGCAGTATGTTCATCGTCATTGAATGAAAGGCGCATTGTTAACCTTTTATAGCTAAAATTTTGCTTACAAGGGGAAAAAATTATTGATCGTAGCCATTTACTTCTATTGAAAATTTTCAAACTGATAATTGTCGTAGACAAGTCATTTTTTTAATGGCCTATTGATAAAATACAATAGCGAAGCAACAAACAAACGAAATGACATTTTCGAAACGTGGATACGTAAAATTTTCAAGTTTTTTTACACGACGTCGTGGTCGGTTAAGTTTGTCATCGATCAAAACTTGAGAGTTCGAAATTGATCGTGAAGCGCGTTCTCGCGAAATTGTTTCGAGCAGCTTGAACGAAGGTATCTAATTTCTAAAGCGTTAACTTCGCCAATTTATGGCGTAGCTGATGCCCGTTGTATTTAATTTCGAAGGAACGTTGGCTAATGCATGGATCCGTTCTACGCTTTCATGCCAATTAACGAGATAGATTTTCAACGTGTGGGCGCAGAACGTGGCTCGCTCGTTTAGATACATAGTTCGGTCTCTCTCGCTTGTCGTATCAGGTCAGAATTAGAGATAGAATTGAATACATTACGATTAGATATTTCCAATACTATTTCCAAGCACACACTGAAATTTAAGCGGGATAGTTTCAGTGTTTCACGAGTATTTGAGAATGAAGTATCACTTTCAAGCAGACTCGATATTTTTGAATAAAAATCGGATCGAGTACCTATCCTACCAGTAGGTTCGGACCTTACGACTCTCACAAGTATTTAAAAATTTCTTTGTTTTTGAAAGTTATCAGAAAGATACACGAAAAACAGTACGTTCGACGGCTATACTCTTTCATAAAACTCTTAGAATATTTCTTTAATATTTAATATTTATATCTTTAATATTAATATTAATATTTATATCTTTAATATTTAATATTCAGTATTTATTGTAGGTAATAAAATTTTTAAATTACACGTATGTATTTTATGAAGCAATTGTTAATACATTTACACTTTACAAATTCTTTCTTGTATCATTTAATATTTCTCAATTTTGAAACAAATATAATATTTGCCCTAAGACTTTTAAACGAGGATTTAAATACGCGTAAAACTTACAGAAATTGAAGTTCGGATTCATATACTACTCGTGTATATACACGCACGTACGTATACATGTGAAATGACTTTAATGGTGACTGTATCGAAGAGCAAACAGGTCGGATCAAAAATCTCGAGGTGTTTTAGTTATTGTTAGATATACGCTTGGAATAAATGGCACAAGATCTTTTTTTTTCACAGAAAAACAGGGACATGCTTCGTCTGATTAAAAATTTCTGACACAGATGTCGAGACGTTGGCGTTTATAAGAAATTCAGAGTCAACTCGCCTTTAGATGCGATATAAATTAGCAAAAATTGACTATAGAAGATCCTGGATCTTTAATTGCTTAACTGGTAGAT